TTGTCGTTGTCGTTGTTGTTGTTGTTGTTGTTGTTGTTGTTGTTGTTGTTGTTGTTAGTGGTAGTGGTAGTGGTAGTGGTAGTGGTAGTGGTAGTAGTAGTAGTAGTAGTAGTAGTAGCAGTACTAGTAGTAGTACTAGTAGGTAGTAGTTAGTAGTTAGTAGTTAGTAGCGAGTAGTGAGTAGGTAGTAGTAGTAGTAGTAGTAGTAGTAGTAGTAGTTATAGTAATAGTTTTGTCACTCGCTTGGCACGCCGTTGACAGCTCTGCGAGGACTTGGTGTCCACTAGGCGCGACGGAGTCCAAAGAGCAAACCCCAAACAGTAGTAGTAGTAGCAGTAGTAGTAGTAGTAGTAGTAGCAGTAGCAGTAGCAGAGCAGGAGTAGGAGTAGGAGAAGGAGGAGGACCAGCAGCAGCAGTGGTAGTAGCAGCATCGACTGCTATAGTCTAGTGGTACCGGTACAACTGCTGCTGATACTACTGCGACTGCTACCACCACCACCACCACGACCACACCATGTGGCATCCAGACAAATCTGAGCAATTCTGAACATCGAGTGTTGATCGTGCAAAACGGAAGGTCGCTGAAGGCCAGGGCCACTGCGGGTAGACCGGCTCTATTGCTCTATTGTACAAGCCCCTGTGCCAACCGAAATTACGGATCGAGTACTTGGTTCTAGGTTGTGGCCGGTACGGAGATTACAGTGCAATCTGTGAGGCAGGCAGCGGGCAATTCTGGTGCCGGCCTGTGAGGGCATTGGGTGCGAACGTCCACAAACAAAGACCATGGCCCCAGCGTCCTCATTCGTGCGCTGCTGGTGTGCTTTCACCATTCGTCCAGGCATGCTCCCACAAGTGCGTCGAATAGCGTGCCATCTACGTACTAACATTGGGGAAGTGCTCCATCGAACCATGGCAACATCCGAGCTGCGAGAAGGCGAACAACATGCTCGCCGACCTCTTCGATGAGGTCTTGCACATACACCTGGAGATAGGCGGCTGTTCAGCACTACAGGTAGGAACGCACGCAGCACATCCGTCCTGCCTTCCGATCATCGTGATCGCGAGAGAAGGCGACATGGACAGAGAGCCAGTTGCTGAATGTCGACCACTCCTCGCCGTACAAGAAGTCGCCTTCTTGATGCCGGAATCCGAGGAATAGCAGATCCTGCTTTTGTCTTGCAAGACCATACTCCACCGTAATTATGCAGGGCCATTGTAGGAAAGAATGCTTTAGCCCTGCTGGCCTTGCGCCAGGCAGGCAACTTTGGAGAATCTGCTGACTCCATGCGCTGAAGATGCCTGTAGGACAGAAACCACCGGAGGATTGCAGGCTGCGGTCTCAATATGTCTCAATGCCTCTGCTGCACCAATGCTCGGCAAGGCGATAGCCCCGTGCCAGGGCAAACCATCAACAACGGCACCTGCCAACGACTGGCTGACTCGCACCGTCTTGCAGTTTCTGGCGGCCCTCTCAAGCATTCAGTTCTGGACCCGACATATCCGACACCTGCAGACCTTTAGTAACTTTGTGGAAGCCAATACAGATCCTGAACCCTAGTCTAGGATCACGCCGAGTGCCGCACATCGGGTGGAGGAAGCTTCAAGCTTCCCTCCTCAAGGCTGCACTGGACGCCTGGGAAACACAGCTTGCAGGAAACATGGAGTCCAGCATTGGCTTGAGCCGACTTGCCTGTTTTGGCTTGCACCATATCGCCCCCTCGTGTTCCATAGGGTGAAAATGACAAGTGCCCACAAGATGCCCACATTGCCCTCTCTGATTTTCTGGCGCTCGGTACTATCGGTGCGAAATGCTGGAGCTGGACACAGGCGCAGGCTGAAAGACTGAATGTATCTCCTAGGCGCGCGCACCAACCGCAGCATCCTTCAAGAAGTTGCTACCTGAACTGGCTACTATCGGAGAGGAAGGATGTTTGCAACGGGTACCTAGTTTGGAGAGGCTTGTTGATTAAAAGCCTGGTGATGTCAGGGTTTTGTTGCCTCCTGCAGTGCCAGGGTCTTCAAGAGTAAGGGCCCGTGGAGGGGGCTCAGTTGGACAAAGGGGGTTCTCTTTACAACAGCTCTGATCTTAAGTTGACTTTGTTCGGTTTGGCTTGTGTGCAAAAATAGTTTTACACTTTAGATCTAGAAGCTCATACACTCATACACATATCTTAGATGTCTTAGATGGATGGATAGATCGATCGAATTGGTTTGGCAGCACATGACCTAGTTAAGGCAGGTCGGGACTGCATTGAAAGAACTTCCAAGCTGAAATCGAAAGTGGCAAGGCAGCCGTGGCACACAGCCCCTTGACTTCGCGATTGCTCCTTGTGACAGAGTTCACGATACCGACACACAGGTCCTTGGATTCGGCCGCGCATCCGCATTGAAGAGACTACTCGATCACCAGGACAGGGCGCAAGCTGCAGAGGCGAAGCTTTGGCACCCTGCTCTTCCAGGACTCGCCCGATAGCGGTGGAGCCCAAGCCATCCTCATGGAATCAATGGGCGAAAGACAAGACGGGCTGCCAAGTGGCAACAGGGAGGCGGCTGCTTGGGCAGCTTGACAAATTGCTATGAATTCAGGTCGTTATGCTCGCAGATCAGCCTGTTAGATTTAAAGGTTGGATTCTCAAGATACCTTGCTTCACTGACTTCTGTTTCGTACGAGGCTTCACTTTGAAAGCCCCTTTCCACACCTCTCAACATGTAGCATGGTGAGGTGCAATTTCATCAGTACGTTAACAGAAACTCACAGGTCAATGCTGCAGATGGTCGATAAATGCCGCAATCACCGCTAAGAGATCCTCCATGGCTTCTCTAGGAGACGCTGTCTCATAGAAATTTATAAAAAGAATTCATTCCGGAGCACTTGATGGCAATCCGTCCGAGCAGACAACATGGCTATGACCGAATCCAGCTGTGCACCCTCAGAAATGGAAGTGCGGACAAACACAACGCAGTTGCCCGGCCTCTCTGGGACAGAGATGTTCTTGCCATGGCCATACTCCGAGTCTTCCGGCCGGAAATGGTCTTAGTGGCAATGGTCGGATCCACCTTCAACTGCCGCGCGGCCAGCGGTGCAAAACTCTGCTGCCAAATGCGCTGGAGGATTTGCTTGTGCCAAGGGCTCGAGGCTGTGCTAGGCGCTACAACTCCCCAGTTACAAAGACCAGGCCTGGGGGAGGATGCAATGGAGTAGCGCCTGCCAAAAAAGCGCTTCGAGCAGGTCGCTTCGCGCAGGAACTGCTCTAGTTCAGATGAGAATGATGGCACCACGTGAAAGGAGGGTGCACTCTGACCCCGACGATGACTTATTAGTCGGATACTACTCTTGCCGGCATGCTGGCAAGATGCAGGTGACTGGCGGACGTTCTACAGGTAGCAAGTTGGGCCCGTGCAGCTGTGAGGCTTGCACACTTGCGGCACAGAAAAGCTTGAAAAAGCGGCACCCTCTCCAGAACGAGTGTGATGCTGCAGCCTGTCTCGTAGTTGAGAATGCAGCTTCTACGGCAACTAAACTGCACGCTCAAAGGCGACAGTGCACCGACACAATGCTCAGTACACTTTGCACGAAGTTGTGCAAAACGAAATGTGCCAAGGTGGCTTGTGATCCCTTCAGTTGTATAGAGATCGTCACAAGAACGCCCGCCGTGCTTCTCTCTTCCTCGCTCGAAGGGTTTTGGTCCAGGACTTGCTGAACCGCATTCTCCATCTAGTTCTTTTCTTGCAGAAATTTCGCCTGGGGGTTCGGACCTGGGCATCCCTGCAAATCACAGTGCCAAAAGGGTAGGAGGAAAACTGGTTGCTGTTGGCGCCTCGGGCGCAAAAGCGGCAAGGCACTGATCAAGGCGCGCAGCGGCGGCCGTGCAGTCCAGAAATCCCACATGACCTGCGCAGGCGGCAAGCGTGCCACTGTCACGTTGACTTGCTGATCGAGAGAATCTAGTCTAACGAGAAACGACTGAGGTCTTTGCGAACATCCTCGACGCCAATCCAGAGAACGTCAGAGAACAAGGGAACTAGAGAGTCTAGAGTCTATGCCATGCACCAGGGAACACTCTTTGGTTCCGAACCGGACGAACGACGAACAGTTGGGGCCCGAAGGACAGTTGTCTAAGCTCTGCTATGAAAGACTTCTGCAAGTGCTGCTTGACTCTCCGTGGACCTTGGTTTATTGATGCTGGGTATCTCACGGTATTTCATTCAGCCCAAACTGCGAAGCATTATAGACTCCGTGAGTTCACAAACCGACTATGAAAGCAGAAATGCTCAACTTACTAGGCTCTTACCCCGGGCGTGCACTAAGACCGAGCGTGATGGATCAAAGCCAACGGCACACGCCGTGTGATCCAAGCACGCAGCTATCTCCATGCGTGTCTGTGTGAGTGGGTACTGTAGCTGGGTGGGTGGGTGGGTGGGGTGGGGGGTATGTGCACGGATGCATGGTCTCGTCTGTCTTTTGTCGCATGCAAGCAAGCACAAACCAAGCAGGCACCATTCAGCAGTCATGCAAGAACCCTAGCCCGCACCTCAGCAGCCGACCGGCGCTCACGCTTGCAGTACCTCGTGCAAGATGCAGATGCACAGTTCAGCGGCCTACAGATCCGGCCCAGTGGCTCATACAGTGCGTCCTTTGCTTCCAGAGAGCGTGATGCAAATTCGCCTCGGGATCATAGGAGCTGCAAGCAAGGGTCTGCTCGGGGCTTTTGGTTCAGGGCCGCATAGCGGGCAAAGATAGAGACACTTGCGCCGATTCGTGCAGCACCTCGTCCGCAATTGCAGGGATGCGGTAGCCATGCCGCCAAGTCTCTGAGCTTCTTTTTGTGGAGCTCATCTTGGGTGTGGAGGGATAGCCTGAGATGGCCACTTACGGACTTACGATCGACACAAACGGAGTGCAGCCCCCTCCGCAAACCCATAATGCGCGTGTCAAAAAAGCCGGGACTTAAGACTTTCGGAAATGTGGCCTGGGTGGCACGCATGGTAAGATCCTCTTTATATTATCATCCGATGACCATTACGCTTGGCTCTCTTAAAACCCACAGGACAGCCATCAAAATCAAACTTCCGAAACAACCCATGGCCCCACACTATGACCGTAAGACAAAAAACAGATTTTGCCAAACTGCTGGAGCGGGGTGTCCTACAAGGATAAAGCACTTAGTCGCAACTTGTTTCTTAGACGTAACTTTTCAGCTTTTTCAGCAAGATGACATAGTTGTAACTTTTGGGCTCCGAAACAGCAACTGTCTGCAGAGGGTTGCAAAACAGGCATCTTAGTTATAACTTTTTTGGTGTCTTTAGCACCAAGCCACCAACTTTTTATGGTGTACTAACGTTTGAAGGTGTTCGTCTTCGGTCAAGGCTTCCTGCTGGATTCACTCCTTAGGGTGTTCGCCTTGGGAATTCACTCCTTAGAGTCTTCGTCTGCGGTCAAGGGTTCCTGATGGATGCGCTCCTCGCGGCTTCGTCCTCGGGGAAAGGGTTTTGCAGGATTCACTCCTTAGCGTGTTCGCCATGGGAATTCACTCCTTAGGGTCTTCGTCTGGGGTCAAGGGTTCCTGATGGATGCGCTCCTCGCGGTTTCGTCCTCGGGGAAAGGGTTTTGCTGGATTCACTCCTTAGGGTTTTCGTCTTGGGTACTCACTTGCGGGTTTCCTTCTTGGGCTACAAGTTCCGGCTGGATTCACTACTTGGGGTGCTCGCCTTGGGTAGTCACTCCTTAGGATTTCCGTCTTGGGCATTTACTCCATAAGGTTTTCGTCTTCGGATAAAGTTTCCTGCTGGATTAAGTCCTTAGGGTTTTCGTCTTCGGCCAAAGGTTCCTGCCGGATTCACTCCATAGGGTTTTCGTCTTCGGAAAAGGTTCCTGCTGGAGCCACTTCTGCGCGAATAATTGTCTGAATGAGAAGGTTCCCTCCTCGTACGCAAAGCCTGACTGCGGGGTTGGTTGAGGCTAAGTGAGGTAGGTGGGGCAGGTGGGGTACTGGGGGTAGGCGGGGCAGGTGGGGTGGTGGGAGTAGGCGGGGCAGGTGGGCTAGGTGGGGTACGCAGGGTCAGTAGGAAAAAGCAAAAGTTACATCTAAGAGAAACAAAGCTACATCTCAGAGAAAAAAAGTTACAACTAAGCCTGCTACATCCTGCGAGCACCATCCTCCCGGGAGCTGCAAAATATTTTCACCGCTAACGGCTCTATGCAGCCGGCGCAGCACGTGGAAGAAGTAGCGGCTGGGAACGGCAGTAACATCGAGGTAGCGACCTGGGGGGACTCTGACTTCTTGGGCTGATGGGCGCCTTGCGACTGTTTCTGCCATGCCGAGCTGCTGAAAAGCTCTCGCAGGCTCAGCGGTCGCGAAGGAAAGGGGCTGGAGCCTCTGGCGGCATCAGCATCGGAACTGCTTATGCGTGGGTAGCAACATGTCAGAGGCAGTCAGAACCAAATCGTTCCACCGTCATTCTTGCGACATCGTTGCAAATGCCTCAACCGTCGCCCTGAACCACTCGAACATCCTCATTCCTCATGCGCAATTGCTCAGGGAGCCACGGCCACGCCGGGGTCGGATGCGCACGTACTCCGTCAAAGACCGTTCCAGCGTCTCCACGACGAACCGCTGCACGAGGCTTGGCTCCGTTCTGGGCCACACCTGAGGCTCTCTGAGGCGCCTCACTCGGTTTAGATTTCACCGCCAACTAGGTTTCTGGAAGTTTTGTGTTTGGACGTTCGGCTTTCGGTGCATCCAGGTGAAACACAGCAAAAGAAGGAGACCACAACGAATCGTAAAGTCTCACTCATCAGGTATCTGCCATCTGTCCACTGCATACAACGGGAACCGAAGTACCAAGCGAAGTATGCGCTCACGCCAGAATGGCGTGCTCTGCTCCAACGCGAGATGTCTAGTGTAAACCGATGCCAGGAGACTACAAGCACATCTCCTGCAGCATAAGCCCTTGATGTGGGGAGTCCTCAGTGAAGGCGCACGTTCACTCCCAGCTTTGAGCCAGCACTGAACCCGACTCTGGTGTTCGTTGAAGCATGGGGCGTTGACAGTACTGCACCGGCCCTAGAATGGTCATGTTTGGCAAAACGGTCTCACAGTCTGTGAGAGCTCGAAATCAGTCTGAATGTCGTGCAAAGCGAACCGCTTGGGTTGGCTTGTTTGTGGAAACGGCGCCCGTGCGGGGCCGTGCGTTCAGACACATTTCAGACCGGGGTGGGTGGGGGGGTGGGGCGGGGTAATGACGTTCTGTTTCTGACGATGACTTGCCTCATGTTGCCGGTGCCATGCTGTGCTCCTGCTCACTGCCACTCTTAATGGTGATGTTTGCATGGTGTTGCTTGCTGCTTCTGATGATGACTTGCCTCACGTGTACTGGTTCTGCAGTCCCTTCTCTCGAGCTCCGAGCTCCTTCCGAGATCGTAGTCACCAGGGCAGACAAATTTGTTTCGTGGATGGCCCTGGTGGTGGCCTGTCTTGTAAATACCTTGCAGTCATACAATAATCTAGCTTCTTCTATTAGGGCCCACAGGCACTCAACAACTTTTCAACTAGCTCAAGTAGCAGGGACTATGCTAGAAGCTTCAAGGACTTGCCCTCGACAACTCTCAGACTCATTCAATACTAAACGATCGTAGATTATATGAAGGCGTCCTGCAAGCTTCAAGGCCTTGCCTTCTGTAGAACGGCTGTAAGCAACGGACACCTGTAACATGACTCTGGCTCCAGAAGGAAACATCCACCCCCCCCGGGCTGTAGCAAGAGCAGGATTTGGCAGGCTTTTTGTTCCGCCTATCCCTTCTCAAAAGCACTCGCTGCAAAAAAAGGCATCCGAAAACACAAAATGCTTGCAGCCGATTTTCAAGCAAAACTGATCCTGAAACAATGAATTTTCCAGACCCACCGACAAAAAAACCCTCAAAATTTAACAATCGCCTCACCAGAATGCATTTCCGCCAAGAGTTTGCGGCAGCTTCTAGTGCTTTCGGCACCTGCGAAAGCTCATACAGAACGCACGTTTCGCTCCAGTTTTGGCCACGCCGCCGTCTTGCGCTAACAAGAAAATCTCTCCAAACGCACGGCCCCGTACAGGCGCCGTCACCCTGTTTGTGAAAGGAACCTAATGAAAACTGTGAACGGAAACAACAAGTGGACTCTCAACCGATGTAGCTCGTAGGTCTCAGGGATCCAACTGCCGTATGGTTTCACATGTGTGGTTCGGCGAAGGGGCGAAGTCTGACGTTCCACACGTCTTGGACTTCTGATGCATGGCTCTCGCTGCACAAGCTGCGCTTGGCGACCACCTCAGCCAAAAAGCCTCAGCTGGACATGGTCCTAGGGGTTCTTGTCTTCATCGGGCGGTGGGCACCTGGCGATACCAAGCGACAGAGGAACGGCGTGTGTGGAGCCAACATACTACCGTCACTGCCGAAGCTCTGCCAAAGCCGACAGATGTCAGATTCCGCGAATTTCTCGACTGTTAGTTCATGCCGGTTCAGATCCGGCACATGCAAGTAGGTACAGAAGCCAATCCAAGTGGCCATCGTCTGGAAGATCCTGAGTCCAACACAACCCCCCTATCAACATCATTCTCTCGATGGTTTAGGGCAACACATCACAAAGATGAGGCTGCAGCTGCTACTTGCAGGGGGTCTGGAACAACTGGTGTACGACAGACAGACTTCAGTGAAAATTTGCGAGCCTGCGAATTTCCATCCCCATCGCCGTTCTGGAAGGCCTGACCAAGCTCCTCGACCTGCTTCAATGGGTCAGTGAGTGAGTCAGTGAGGTACAGTTAGTCACAACAGTCCCGGACGCCTGGAGCAGCTGAATATGATTGAGGGCGTTTGTTTCTGGCTTCAGTCGGCAAGAGTGTTGGCTATGCCATCTACACTTTGACCTGACATCCTTCGTCCTGTCAGCCCTTGGCACTGCGCCGCTTCGGCCTCGTACCGCTCATCCCCAGCATCTTCGTTTGACATCACAGGCGGCTGCAGCTCGGCTAACGTGGTCCACAGGCCCTCGGCCCACGGATCCTGAGCAAAAGGATCATCTGCATATACACACGTACACCACGGTTATATGCACGTGTGCATACACATACATGCATATATGCTTGTGTGTTGACCTTTCTTCTGCATCTGGACAGCGAGACATCGGTATAGCTGGTAAAGCCATGATGGATTATGTCTCCTGCTTCGGTGAGCATGGAGAAAGTTTTGTGAGTACTGCAGTCAAGGCCCACTCGACCTCTGTAAAACGGGTATTGCAACCAAGTCACCAGCTCTTGCTCCAAACCTCAGGGCTCTCTGCCCTCTCTGCAATCAGATCTCCATATATATATATATATATATACAGCACAGGTGTGCATGCTGTGTAAGCATATTTTCTCTATGACTATGTGCCTACACAGCTACCGGAATTTCTCCTTCGCGATTGATTGCTTGATTGATTGATTGGCGATTGATTCATTGATTCGTTGATTGGTTGGTTAATTGATTGATTGATAGGCAGATAGAAAGACGTGCAGCAGATGTAAGACACTAAACAAATAAATAGATTAGATAAGCAAAGATACATACAAACATACACAAACACCTACACACATAGATACATACATGAGGGTTGTTCTTTATTAATTATGGTTGCAGCGCGTAACTCGAAAATCGCCTTGCGCTTCGACCTTGCGCGCACACGGTTTTAAACATATTCCCACCTTGAAGCCTAGATAAACAGTCTTACACTACTTTATCGCCAATTTGCTCGCCCTTGCGCCGTGCTGGTTTTGGAGCAGGTCCTAAGCCTGCATCAAAATATTGAAAGTGCGCTGCTAGTCTCCGGTCAAGAGGCCGGGGTTTAGAACAACTCTCATATAAGATCTATTAAGATCTTGGCTAGAAACTACAGTGGCAAACGCTGCGCTTGATGCCGTGCACGCACTTTCTCTTTCCCGTGAGCACTGTCCGTTGCAGGTGGCTCACTGGCCACAGCGGCAAACTGCTCTTCGGGGGACGTTCCGGCATAGTCAACCCAGACAGCAATCAAGAGCGAGGCATCGGCATCGTCTCAGGCGTGAGCATGTGAGTCTTCAAGAAGGCCAGTAGTTGGTCGTGAAAGTACTGGGTCATCTTTGGAGGGCAGCCAGTGGCCAGTAAAGGCATAAACCAGGTCCACTTGCCAGCACCACCCGCGACATACTCGCGCCAGCACCTCTACAAGCCATAGCCGAAACAAACCGAATCTCATGTGAACTTGTCGCAGTTGCCCCGTCGCCAAACCGGGCAAAGCTCGACTTTTGCATCTTATGAGGATTTGGGGGCTGTTTTGAACTAGGGATCAGGATTTTGGGCCGCTTTGAACCAGGGCCTCAGGTCACAAAAAGTTCGTGGAAGATACCTTGTAATCTAGCAAGCGGGAGGCGAGTCACTCATCGTAGCTCATCACCTCCGCAATCTGAGGATTATGGGATATCAGCGAGCGGTAGTACTCCTGCAGCACCTCTGATTCGACAGTAGCTCGCAGGCCCGGATCCATGTGCGATATGAGGAACTGTGCAATTTCCTGTGGCCCAGAGCCCACGCCCACATTCTCCCAATCCAGCAGAATCAACCTCAAGAGTGTGGATCGAAACGCTACAGACGAAGCAGAACATGGGACTTTCGGCCACAAATAAAAGCACAAGTTGAGCTCATAGCCTACTAGCACATGCCGACGGCGGATAGGCAGCAAACCAGTGTTGGCTGCAAGCAGGCCACCTCAACTCCTGCAGGCCACCTTCAGGATCTTCAGGCGCCAGTAGCATGCAGTTTGCAGGGTGGAAATCTCCATGAACGAGGCTCCATGGTGCTTTCTCCATCCAAGCCAAAAACGACGAAAATCCACCTTTCTCCTTGGCGCGTCCGATGGCAGCATCAATGCACTCTCGCAGAAACGGGTCCCAGGCAACGCCGGAATTGGCAAAGTCCAAGGACTCCCACGCGGCTCGGCTTTGCCCCTGGTACGCTTCCCAGAGAGCCTGCCCCTCCCCTGCAATCCATCTCGATCCCCGAAGCCAGGAAAAACCGTCTTTGGCCAGCTGAATATCCCGGAAAAATGACGCGTGCACCTCCGCTGCTGCTCTGGCAGCGACCTTTGCCACGTCCAAAGCCGAGATCTTGGCAGACAAACCCCTTGTTTTCTGCAGAAGGTCCTTGTCCCAGTTGTGAGGAGACGCGGGCCCGAAGAAGTAGCCGCTCTGGATCGCATCACCCAGATCTTGCATGATGATGGTTTTCTCTCCGGTGGACATGTCGCCCTCAGCATGCCAAACTTTCGGCAGTATCGAACGAAAGGTCTCGTTGGATGCGAAGGCCTCATGGTTCCGGCTCGATCACACTGGCTCACTGTCGCAAATGACAACAAATCCACAAGTCTGGTTTTTGCAAACAGTGCGCCTGGTAGAAGAGAGCCTCCCTCGCCAGCCCGAGCTGCTTGTTCATGTCACGCTTGTCAGCATCATGCCGCTTGTGCACCAAGCTAACCTTGCCACCATCGTTGTAGGTTACAAGCAGGCGTGTCATCGGGCAGTTGAAACCGCCGGTGCCACTCATGTCCTCGCAAGCAACGCTGCTGACATCGTCCCTGTCCAAAAGCTCTGCCAGCCACGCTGCAGACACCCCTTCCATGAGTGGCGACGTTCGGACGGCTACCTACGACTCAGTTACGGTCGCAAGCTCAGTGTGCTCAGTTAGCCTTCTGGGCTGTTTCCCTGCCGATGTGCCTCATAGCGTAAATAGCGCTGTATGCAGCATGGCCATTCCTACACATGCATCTGAGTTACAAAAGGCTTGCACAAATGAGCAGTCCTGCATCGGACATGTGTATGTCGCTGAAAAAATTGAGGTGGTACATGTGGGGATCAAGAGCTAGTGGTACCAAAGCCCGATGATATCAAGCCACAATGTGTGAGACCTCTTCCTGACACAATCTGGCGGGATTCTTCGCCAATGTCTGAGCCTTGCACAGGCTTTGGCTTCGCATCTTCCAAATGCGCGTCCTGGGGCACATGTGCAGTGTATGTGTATGTATGTGATGTCTGTATGTGTGTATGTATGTACGTATGATTGTATAATATAGGTCCGTATGCATGTGCGTAATGTATGCATGCACGCACGTATAACGTGTATGTATTCACCACAGGTATACGTGCATGCAGAAAGACATGTACATGTATGCTTATATATATATATATGTGCAATCTGTGGAAGCCCCAAAGGATTTCCTGATGTGTGGACACCGGCATTTGTCAGATGAAGGATGATGCCGACGGCGATTTTGAGTCAATTCTTGTCGATAACGAGTATGCTCCTATCCTTTTGACTATCTCCCCCTTCACACACACACACACATACACACATACACTAACACCGCAGCACGGCATGCGCTTCGAAGCTTGCTTTGGACTCGTCAAGACTTGGGTGCCTGTGGCTGCAGGGAGTCGGCAGTGTGCTCGGACACGCCTGGCAGTTTCGGGAGCCATGACGGTGCGAAGTCTCTGCGGCTCTGCGGACTTCGAGATCCGGGCCGGCTGGAGGTAGGTCATCAAAGTCGAAGAAACTCTGTGCTGAGGCGGCCGACCTCTGTGCATTCGGTCCTACCTTGTTTATGTTCTGAGTGTTCAGTCGATCCCTAGACATGCCGACGCAAGACAAACCCTCTCTGATCTACCCGGCGGGAGCTCAGCTGAGGCTCAGGCGCCTCTGCCTCTGCTCGAATACATGAGTCATGAAAGCGCAGGATCCTGGGATTGAGGATGGATGGGGAGGGCTGAGTGCTTCGCGACGTCAACTTCGATTTCTCCGTGCAGCCATAGCTGCTCCTGGAGGGTTGCTGCATCCGGACTCCGTCCTGGGGCTCGCTGCTCCTTTGGGAATCCGCGCGGACAGGGCTGAGGGAGATTGCTGCCATGCAAGGCCACATGAGCCATGCACAGGCCGTCACATTACCGTGTGGATCCGTGCGGGCTGCTTCGATCTACGACATCGTTTTGAGTTTAACGAATCTGATGTGCCGGTGTGCTGTGACCATTGCTGCACGTGCTTCCGTCATCATGTTAGAATACTTTTTAGGCTTAGTTGCGACTTCGCCTGCAGGCTGGACATGAGCGTGTTAGCACCGAGGCGGCAGTCCGCAGCTCAGACTTAAAGCGTGGACCGCATACAGACGTGACAGCATCTCCAAACACACCTGCTTTTGAAGCTTGTTTTTGCACATGGTTGCCGCAACACACGAGCACACAATTCTTCGGAGTCACGATGGTGATCTCCAGCTGCCTGTAGTAGAGCACTTGGAAGACCATGCTTTCAGCTGATTATGCTGCAGAAACGCACATGTCACCACTCAGAGACTTGCGCTGCGTTCATCGCTGTACTGCTGCCAGAGATTGGCTCCACAGCATGAGCAATCTTCACTGTACTTGTTCCGATATGGATTGCAAGATTGGATGTCGCTGCGAAAAAGGGCTGACTTCCACCGAAATCCCACTGCATGCCTCAGAGGACAACGTACAGCACGGGTTTTGTTTCTATGCTCTGCACAGCGATACTGTAATTTTCCTGCAAGCATTGAAGCCTGCACTTGCAGAACGATGGTGAATTTACGGTCCGTGATGGTGAGTTGAGATTTTGCAGACCTGCCTCAGTCCGTCTTCCCTTCGAGACATTACGCTTGCCCTGCTGGCCTCAGCCCTGAACTCGCAAGTCGCCTTTTTCCACACAACCGCACACAGCTCCGGATGTCAAGCCTTGAAACTCGTATCCACATCTGACACTTTCACACGCTTACTCACAGGCTGGACAATTTGCAGCAGCTTTGTAACAAAGCCTGTATTGACTAGTGCGACTGGTCGCATGACAAACTGTCCAGAAAACAAAAAGGTCGCAAAGCCTGGAAGATGACGCTGACCAAAAGCTCGCCGAGATGAGAACCTGTTGTATGTTCTTCCATCATAATCATCCTCGATCTTCCAGCTTTGTGCTTGCCCCTAGGCTACATCGGGGTTTCGGAATCGCTAGACAGGATGGTCGCTGGGGAAGCGATGGGTAACAGTCCCTGACAAGGGAGGTTGGGCTGACCTCGAGCATCCTCACTGGCCCAGGGTGGTGCTGTCCCCTTGCTACCAGTAGCGACTCTGGATTCACATAAAGCATCAGCTGCACCAGTCCTGGCATCTCCAGCTGGGACTAAGCAAATGGTCACGGAAGTGCAAAGGGTCAGTGTTTGCAGATCCTTTCATCTGATTGAGAATCCGAGGAACTTATGCCAAACATGCCTGAGGGATAGGTCGGATAGTTTGTCCCACAAGGGAAGCGACGTATTCAATGCGTTCTAGAGATCTCCTCAATCTCTTCAAATCCACGAACAAGAGGGGAAGATCTCCACTTACCGAATTCTAAACGGGAGATTGGAGAGCAGCTCGGTCTCACCCTCCAGCTGGTCTGCGTAAAGCGTAATGTTCCAACAAGCCCACGGCGCGTCTAACGCGGGATGCACAGAACGAAGCTCTACGCAGTTTCAAAACGAAGTAGCTTCATGCTGCTGCTTGGTACCTTCTCGGTAGAATGCAGCTTTCCAAGGGTGCTTGAACAGCCAAGGTCAGTTCAGCTCAGGACAGGTCACTCTACCACTCCTGTTTCTGAATGAGCTTCCCCAACCTTGCCCAATGAAGCATCTGAAATCAAACATCCCCGGCAAGTCGCCCTTTGTGGTTGACTTCGGGAGAGAGAGGCGGGTGCGTGCGCAGACTTGACAGCCCGATGCGATAGTTTAATAGTTGGTGCACATAGGATGCCTGACAGTTCGCCGTACAGAGCGATGCGAAACGCCGAAGTATGTGGATTGCAAGACGGACTGCGCACGCGGGAAAGGATGTCCCGGCAGTTTTTTTGGCAAGGTGGCCGCGCTTCCCCCCCGCCGGCTGCGAAAGCGCACTGTACAAGCCTGAGGTGGCCTACGCAGGCAGTGCATAGCAACTCGGATGCTTGGACTCCTGTGTTCCATAGAGGCAATGACAATGAAGCAACCAGCTCCTCTGGCAGGAGAAAGCCCTGCTGCCACGGGCGCCGGTCGCGGAGGTTCGAAAAGCGTAGATCTCGGTTCTGACTAAAGATCAGATATTGATGTGGCCTCCTTTTGGAACAAGGAGTATCCGCTCTGAACAGTGCACGAGGCGGGGGACAGGCCGTTTGAGCGAAAATTACTCGGACAGCATGCCGCCTGTTTTTCTGTAAAACGCATTCAGGCGTGCAACTTGTATTGTGCTTGAGGAATCTGACGTGCATCTTGTCTCAGGCCGCTCAAATCAAACCCGATCCGCAGTTGTTGCGAACACTCAGTGAGGGAAGGGCGCAGGCATCATACGGAGGAATATGCTTCTTGCATCATCGAGATGCGGTGAGGCTATAATATGCATCACAAGAATATCATGCGTCGGGCTGGCATGGAGAAGACAACTTGGATAGTGCTGCTCCAACACAATGTCAGCCTGCGCCACTTGTTGGCAGAACCTTTGGGCAAGCCCCTTCAATCAGTTTCTCATATCTTGAACTCTACCTCCTACGGCTCTGCATCTCCTGAGAACTGGCAGCCATTCACCCGTTTTCGGAAGCTGGGGCGGCTCCCGCAGGATCTGCCGTGCAGCCATTTCACCTCGCCCCAGGATGCTATGCTTCTCATTGCAACGAATTTCTGCTCACGTCTCTCGTGGCCGGTGGTGGCGGTGATAGGACCTTGCAGAGACCCTTCAAAATGTTCGTTGCTAACCTTCAAAAGTATTGTTCGTCAAAGGGTAACGTGGTGGGCTGCAGCGGCGCACCGTTTCCTGTACCACCTCTCGCAGTGGAGGTCCACCGGGGTAGATTTGAGAGCCCACTTGCCGGACGAGTCCTGCCAGTGGTTTCAAAGGGAACTGTCGCGCACCGTGCCCATTCCGGTTGATGACCCCCGGCCTGGATTCCCAGCCAGTGGTACAAGGACCTTGCTGGCAACGAGGAGCCTCAGCGAACAAGTGAGAGAGCCGCAAGGGCTCATGACAGAGACTTGCTTGGGAAAGTCCATGTGGACGCCCGAGCCTTGCCAGTGACTTCGAATTTCGGCCAGCATTGGTGTGACTGCTGTGTTCTTGTCTTGTCTACAAAGGCCTGTTTGAACACGCTCTGCTTGCCGAGGTGCTTTGCGACCTCCGCCGCCTGCCGCAGCTGCGCCCGCGTTCTGTCCTGGTGCCATGCTGGAATGCTGATTGGCGGCCGGTGTATAAGTATAACAGTGCACCATCGCTGCTGCTGCTGCTGCTGCTGCTACTACTACTACTACTACTACCACCAGTTCACAAGCGCGTGCGAGAGACACACATCAGCAGCATCACATGACAGTACATCCATGCTATTCCCTCATGTAGACAGTGTGCGAGACACTATATCATACGTAGCAGTCATAGCACATCCAAACCAGCCATTCCCCATGTAGGTGTGTCTCTCTCTCTGTCTATGTCCTATGTATGAGAGAGAGAGAGTGTGTGTGTGTGTGCGTGTGTGTGTTTGTGTGTGTGTGTGCGTGGGTGTACCCAGCGCCAAACAGCACGACCAAGACTGGTTTGGATGAGCAGGACCCGAAATCGACAGGGCCACGTGATTAGCTCCGAAATGGACAAGCACCTGTTCGAGACACGCATCCGTGTCATCACAACACATCAACACCTGTCATTTCCCATGTAGACGCGCGATTCCACAGGCAGCACCTCCAAACACAGATCAGTGGCGTCACAACACATCAAGTGCGGCCTGTCCCCATGTGGACCCTCGATTCCACATGAGACAATCGAATCCTTCACAAATACAAATGGCCGGTAGCAGTCATGGCACGAAAACGCGAAACTCCAGTGTAACGGTGCATAAACAAAGAATGCAAGATGTTATCACAGTAGAGGACTAGATAGCTTGACAACACGTTTCCGCAAGGTGACGTTGCTCACAGTAGTGGTATGGCTTGGCACGTTTCCGAAAGGTGACGCTGTACAAACAAGCACGCAACATGTTATCACAATAGTGGATTGTATGGCTTGACGATACGTTTCGGCAAGGTGACGCCGCAATTCAAGTTGTTCTCATAGTGGATTGCATGGCCTGACAATACGTTTCCGCAAGGCGACGCTGCACAAACAAGCATGCGAGATGCTATCAGTATAAGTTGACAATACGTTTCCGAAAGCAGCAGGCACCAAGCACAACAACGGCGACTACAACAACGACGACTGCGACTACAGCTACTCCTTCTACTGCTGCTCACAGCATGAGCTGCAGGTGTAGCACGCTGCTTCTTCGCAACAGCGCTGGCAGCAACTGACATCGAGAAATGCTGCTGAAAACAACGGGGGCGCCTCGGAGAGATTTTCCGAATCAAGGAAGTCCGCCTTGCGGGGCCATCTTGTATGTATATATATATATATACATATGTATGTACGTGGTTAGCTATATGAGTTTGTCTTCTTTGCACGTTTTTCATTGCACCATGCTCTTGCTTGCTTGCTGGTTCCCGTCGTGCTTGTAGCTGTGAGTGCAACCTGGATTGCTGGGCAGGCACTGGGCCCAGCGGGCGATGCACACGCCGTAGCAGGAGGCTAGCACATCGCCTCAGTTGTCGACTATCTGCCGGCACGTTCTTGGGGGCGTGGCCATGCCCATTTGATGACGCCAGACGTGTAACTTTGGCTGGAGCTATTCCTGAACTGCCGCAGTGGCTCTGTTCGTCAAGTCCAGCGAGCTCAATGTTCCTTGGGACTTCCGAGTGAGGCGGCTCAGGGAACTCTTCGACCAGCAGGTTTTCGCTTGCGAGGACTCGCAGTATGCTGTCATGCGCCCCCCTCTCAGGATGTTTCAACCGGATCTCACTAACTGTATCTCCAGCATGAAAGCTTCAACTAGTGGCATGAGATGTTGCCTTCTGCCTGACACGATCTTTGGCTGTGGCTGTCTAATTAGTCGTTCTGAGACCAAGTCACACTACCTTTGTGTCCGCCAATGACTCGTGCAATGGGGATCGGGAGCAAAGCAGCAGCGTCACACGATGAGTCTTGCGCAGCACTTCGGCCAGCAGACCTGCTGCAGCTTGACTTGAGGGCACTTCCTATTCAGGATGTTGTGCTGGTACACAAATGTCCGTCCCTCACTCTTCTGTGTCACGGGCAGCAGAGTCGGGCAATCTAGTTCGGTGCACATGCTCGCAGGATGGGCCTGCTTGCAGCAATGAACACCAGATGCTCACTTGTACTTCTTCCCATCAAGCTATGAGCACATATGAGCACACTCGCGATCAGCCTCGTAAAGAGTTGCTTTGTTCCAGAGCGTGGCATTCGTCGTCCAGCACCAGGAGGATTGGGGCATGAGATCTGAACCTTACAGCCGGGGTTTGGAAAGTCAATGCGAACACTAGTGCAAACTGCCCCAAACATGCGGCATCGGAAATGCCATGATTTTAACAGCATTTTCCAAACCCCACCCGTCAGGCCGTAAAAAGGGTGAATTAGCTGCAGTGAACTGCCAAGGCGCCGCTCTAGCTGTTGGAGCTGCCAAACAACGCAGCGGCTGTTACCCTCCGGCGCTTCTGCCACCGAGCATGGTCCAGCCCTGGCGGCAAGATCGTCTGCAAATTGTTTGCAAGGAAAGTGAATCCTGTCCCTCGCGTCTGGCGGTGGTTGCGATGCCATGCGCATGTTAACTCCGTGCCTGGCCATGAAAAAGTCGACGCACTCCTGGTCAATACACAGGAACATGGAGGGGCCAGACACGCAAGTTTTTCGTATCGGCGTCAAGAGGCGCTTTTGGCCATGTTTGAACGTCCATAAAGGTCCGGTGCGCTCATTGGGTGATCTGGATGGGATTGGCGCTCTTGGAGGCTTTGCAGACAAGGATGGCGGATGGTAGGTTACCGGCCGAAGAAGGGTACAGCAGCTGATCAGATTGTTCAATGTGTTCATGAGCAAGAGCGAAGCCAAAGCAAAACCCAAGGTTGATGTGAATCGACAAATGGTGATTTGCTCGCGAAGCAAAGCGAAATGCATACTGGATGTGATCTTTGTTCAGCTGCAAATGTTTTGGTGCGACATGAAACACGGGCACTGACATACCTCAAATCACATGATTTCGTCCACGTTAGCACGAAGGCCTATGCAAGTCCTATCAGGACTGGTGAATGCGCAAAATGGTGCCGCACATCAACAAGACTTTATGTTATCTCATACGCTTTCCTGATGCGTCAATCTCGGGAACAACGCAGGTGGCAAGTCTCCTTGACAGTCTTGACAGCTCTGCTCTTCTGATCCAGTTGGACGTGGAGCACATTGCTGGAAAACAGCCTGAAAGCACAGAAACGGATCGCACAAGAAAAAGGCGCGAACGCATCGAGCCTGCCCGGGCTTGCAGCAAATCGGGCGATTTCCACACCCAGTGCGGTCTTCCCGATGCCCTGTCACTTGTGGGAGCAATGAAATACACTCCAAGCTGCCCGGACAAGGAAGGCAGGGGCCATCCAGCCATCCGATGCCATCCGTGTATATCTGACATGCAACAGTGTGCTTGAACTGCATCACTAGCCGATAGTGGCGGCACTGAGTCGCACGTATAATGCACGTGCACGAGGGCGCACAAGAAGCAATTTTTGGCAGCAAAAATCATGAAATACTTGTCGGAGCTCCCGTGGGCTCCTTGCCATTCCAATCCGTGCGCACTTGTGCTCACTGGGCCGCGCTAGTGATCGTGTTGAGTGACCCATCAGCATCTGATAACGGAGGCACTGACTCGTACGTGCACCGTGAAATGCACGCGCAACGCACCCACACAGGGGCACACAAAAATTAGATTCCTTGTGGCAGCCAAATTCAAGAAGTGCCTGGCGGAGCTCTCGCGAGTGCTTGGCCATTCCAATCCGAAGCATGAGGGATCGCCTTAAAACACAGCCGCTTCTATATGTGTTTGACTGCCAACTCCTATGCCAAACACGTGCGGCCCACCCCTGAACCATAGGAGACAGAAATGGCACACGCTAACATGCACGGGCGCACGACAAGCTGACACTCGCCAGCACGCGCCACACATGAGACACACGCGTGTCCACAACAACGAAAAGCCCAAGCACCACCGAAGCGCAGATAATCTGGCCTTTGGGCCGGGGCACCAACTCGTCCAGACATCATGGTGGCGGTCTTCCTGCAAGCTTCCCTCGAGGTAAAAGGTCGCAGCCTCACGTGAAACCCGCACCTGTGTCGTAGGGTCCCCGCACTTGACCCGTGCTGGGTGTGGTCCAGAACGCCGCAACGCGGGCTTGCAAGTAACGGAAATGAGCAATTTCAAAGCACGCCAGCCGACAAACCGGACAGCGTCACGGCTTCTGCACAACAACCAGCTTGTCGTCCACACACGCACAAAGATCGGCCAACAGCTCAACGTCCAAAACTTATGCAGGACCTACAGCTCGAGTGCAATCCCAAACACTTTTCGAGCTCTTCGCTTTTGACCACGGCCAGTGGCAACAAAGTGGCGCCAACTTCTCCAACAGACGTTTGCGCTTGTGGCAAAGTGGCAGCTGGGCAAGGGTCCAGAAAGATCTCGCAGCTGATCCATCTTAGCGACGTACCTAGGCGAAACTTCGGCAAACTCAGCGGCAGCCTCAGGCCTACCACCAAAACATATCAATGTGAGGACGCTTAAAGAGGGGGCGGCACAACGTAAAGTTGTCGTCCACACAAACCGCCCAAAAATCACGCACGTGCAAGGGCTGGCAATGATCGTGCCAGAAAGAAACCACAATCCTCCGGAGCCACTTTCACTCATTTCCTACTCATTTCCGAGATGCCCGGCCGGACAGGCTGCACCAAACCCAGCCCGAGCTTCTAGCAGACCACTCGGCAGCCAGCCCTGTCAAGTTGAGATCGACCTCCTCCTGCACCAGCTGCAAGACGGTATCTGCGTATTGCCGCCCGGAGCTCCAAGACTCCTGCCAAGTACGCCAGTCCGACTGGCTCGAAGAACACCATGCTCTAGCTGAGCTGGCAACCCTGCATCCACGTCGTTGGACAACACCGTCGTAGGATAACACGGGCATGCCACGCCGTAGGTGAAGTGCAAACGGTTACTTGCATGCACGGCTAAGGCTTTGCTATGCGCAAAAAGACGCAGATCTTCGCGAAGATTTGCCACCTTTACAAAGTAAAGGAACATCACTGCTCATCGCAACATGCACCCCCGCGACGCGGAATCAGTCTGAATCAATCCCAACCGTGCACGGCCACCAAACGTGTCTTGCGCAAACTCAGGTCGCCAGCCGCATCGGAGAAGACGCCTGCGGGAAGCATTGATTGCTGATACCCATACAAAATGGATCCGAATGGACCAAGCCGTTCTACCCCAGCACTAATCCTTCCAACGCCGGTTGCCAGCGGTGACTTCCACAGCTTCGTAGGGTATCCCTGGCAGTCCGATCCGGAGGCCCATCCTCGACGGCCCGACTGGCACAGCACTGAGCTGCGATCTAATCTAATCCCTCCACTGAGGAATTGTTCGAGGATTCCCAGTAGGTTGCATCCGCATCCGAAGGTGGGGGAGCGAGTTTGGAAACTGGAAACCCTTCCTGAAGTCCAGAAACCTCGCTGCAACGGTGTTACTTGCAGCCAGCCGTTCCAGATGGCACTCAATAACCGCTTCTGGCAGCGAAACTGCGGTCTGACGACACCACGACCGTACTTCCGCGCAGACTGGTGGCTTGGTTTATGGTGGCCCTGCGCATTCCTTCGCGACTCTTTGACGTGCAGCTGCAGGGCCCAAGACAACGTCGTGGCTTTGCAGGAATGCAGCGAAGATCGGCATGCCTGCTCAGCAGGGGTGAGCAGCACTGCGCCAGACAACGCCGAACCCGCGCCAGCATTCCTGTGTGCTCCATTGGTCTGCCGCCGCTGGCCACTAGGAAGTCCCGACAATGCTGTCCTGACTGCAGGCTAGAAAGTACTTGTCCAAATCGGAGACCCCAGCCAGCGCGAGTTGCCCCGAACGCGAATGCTCCAAAAGAACAGCCGCACACAGATGTTTTTCTGCGCTGCCCAACCAACGTCAAGGGCAACGCCAAGGCCCCGACAAAAAATTGCCGCAGGCGAGGAAAGCCAAGGTTTAAGGTCAAGGCTCCAAAGACGTGATTTTCTCCGTAGCACCACCCCTCCGATGAGAGTAGGGATCGCATGCAGCCACAACTGAAAAAAGACTACTGACTTGCGAGTGTGACATAGACTTAGAGGTTCCGCTGTCCAAGGAGGCGCTTGTTGAATCTGCAGACCACGGCGTACAAGGAGTCTCCGCAGTGTCCGGGGAACCTTTGGATGAACTGGAGGGTTCTCCTGCGGAAGTTTGGATGGAAGAGGAGCTCCCTCGTACTCAGGAGGAGCTCGAGCGCTATATCAGCGAGCTGCAAACTCCTCCGGTCCAGGTCGTGCTCAGGTATTTTGTAGGACTCAAGTCCAAAACTGGCACAGATGTCGCTGCGGGAATCCAGCAAATGGTGCTGGAAGTGAACAACACTTTCCGGTGCTTGTGTTGCACTTCGACCCAGAAACGGAATTCGCGTCCGATGCCCTGAAGAAGCGGCTAGGCCAGCACTATCCGTCGGCAGCATCCATTACCTACAGATAAACAAGGGAATGGTTTAGTTGAAAGGTCCATAGGATGGGTCAGAGCTCGCACACGTCGGGTCTTCCACTTAGGTCGGAGCACACAATCGCAAGGTGCTTGGTAAGCCGCCTCTGCGTTACTTTGGACAGGCTGTTATGCATAAGTTTGAGAAGCCACGAGGGGGCATGAATGAGTTAATGCCAAAATGGATTAAGGCGAGGTACCTGAACCTAGTAGGGTTGAAGGGATTTAGGGCCAATACTATCGACCCAGAGCCCTTGCCGGGGCTTAATATGCCAGTCTTGGAGGGCCAAGATGATGTCGATGATCCAAGAAATCGTAAATCAGCCAAATCCTGGTGACACAAACATACACAGCTGTACACGCTGCGAAGCTTGATCAAGCACGCATGCAAACTCTCTTTTCAGGTCCTCCGCCACGACTAGCTTAGTGATCGTGCTGCACTCAAGCAGGCGTGAGAGACCCTTCCGCCTCCGGGCCATGTAGAGCACAGGCTCGACGGTTACGAAGAAGCATCAAGACCTGACGCAGGTGTGGGGGCTGCCGGCTAGCCATGCAAAGCTTTCCATGGTGCCGTTCCTGCTGCATGACCGGTGGACGAAAGAAGTCTTCCACCTGGGGCGGGAGGAACGTCAGCTTGTCCTGGAGCAATAGAAATCACGACAACTGCACCAATGAGCCTATGAGCATCTATCGGCTTGCACGCTTGCACCGTCCTGGAAGCTGCATGCCTCCTGGCAGGGACAAGAGGGCATTCTCTAGTCCACGCTTCTCCGGGACCGTCTGAGTCGTGGGGAGGAACCTAATCAGTTTCTGCATCCTGGAAGCCCTCGATATCGGTGTCGCGTTGGCTGAGAACCGACGACGGCCTGAAGGTGGATGCCCGCACTGCCCTCTTCCTCTCTGCAAAAGGATGACGGTGCACCGTCATAAAACCCAGCCAACTAACACTCCAGTTCGTAGAGCCTAGCTCTTCCGAGATCTATTGAAGCTTACCGTCTGAAGCCGTGTCTGCTTCGCCTGCTCTTGCTATCTTTGCATATCCGCGCGAGTCGCGAGCTGAACCTGTTGTCTGGTTTGCCGGCCTCTCTAGACACTCCATGAGCTGCCACGACCCATCGCCCTCGCCGGTGCACGGACAGTCGCCGCCTTCAGCCGTTGATTCGATTGCCGAATGCAACGCACTTGTCAGCACTTCTGGCGGCCACGTAGGGACACTTCACGAAGATAGGTGGGTGTTTAAGGGACTGCATGCTGGCCTAGTTGAATGTAGAAGCTCGCATTGAGTTCAGGCGCCTTCCAGTCTGTCATGGTTCGTGAGCAAAAGGAAGGCATTCGACTGATCTGCCACCTGGTTCCAGCTGGTTTCGAGTTTGGGAACTCAGGAACTCCCCTCCACTGAAAAGCGGCCTCGGGGTGTGAACTGGCGAGCAGCGCTTCCTTCGTGTGCTCGAAAGCTGATGCAATCGACCTGGGTGCCCGTCTCTCAGACGTCCTCCGTCCTCCCACTCAACTCGTCCGACAAGGTTGTCTACTGGCACGATCCGGAGGTCCGTTGAATCCAAGACTTCAAACGCTGACAGAGCGACTTCCCAACGAAAAGGGCACCGTAGAAGCGCTCAGTGAAAGCTCGCGCGGTGGCATCGAGAACTGTCCTGGCTCGTGCTGGATGCTTGCTAGCCTGTTTGCCGACAGCCAGGGTGGCTCGAGATGGCTTGATGCATTATGCACACATGACCTGCCCAAGCCCACTTCGCGGGGGTTGTATCAACTCCCACCTTATTCAGGGTGCCATTTTTTTGTTTTATGAAACTTCGCTGACCTTTGGACTCAGGCATCTCGGCTAACGTCTCTCAGGGCTACACAGAGTCTTTAAAGCAGCCCGAGAGCGAATGCACCAGCATAGCTACGAATTACCACGGGCAGAGGTGAATTGCTATTTACGTACTTCGCTCAACATCTGAAGTCCTGTTTGTCGCAATAACGTGCTGACAGCCGCAGTCGATAAAGACCTCAGTCGGGAGAATCTCGACATCATTCGCGTTGATATGCGAACAGGAATCTTGAAATCATCCCAGCAGCTTGTGCGAGTTTCTTTGAGCTGCAGGAACTCAGGAAGACCAGAGAAACACCACGCAGGCCACGTCCCCCCACGTTCAAGATCTTTCTGAGCTTCTCCTTGGTGATCATTCAGGTCGGCCGTAGCGGAGGAGCTCAGATTCGTGCATGCACTTCCAGGCACAAATGAGACAACTCGGTGCCTCGAACACGCGGGGGGAGGTGCAGGAAATGGACAGAGGAGTCTGGAAATGCCAGCGAGACGAATTGAGTGACAAAAGAAGCCGGCAACGAAAGCCAGGGCTTTAGGATGTTCCAGTGTTTGGCTAGAATTCGGACCAAGGCTTCAAGCATCTTCAAGCTGGGATTCACCTATGAGGGTTCACACCGCCTGGCAATGAGTCGAGTAGGGTGTACATGGCTGCTGTCCTGCCGTCCCTCTCCGATCGTACAGTAAGATTAATTTTCGTTCTCGCTTGCGTTAATGAAAAACACCCGATGAGCAGCGACTGTTCGGAACATGTTTGACGACAGTGTGTCTGCTTCCGTGAATTTGCCAGCCGTGTCGCATGGCTGCAGCTATGGACTTCTCCTGTTCCCTTCGTGCTCTCCAGAATGAGACCACCAGCCTGAAGCAGCGGAGCATGTCGAGCGAAGGACGGACGACGCAACCAGAAGTTCGGCCAACTTCGACCGCTCCTCGTCGCCATGGGCTGCTAAATGCAGGATGAGGCCGCTCCTGCCAGAGGGATCAGCAACTGCATGTTGTGTAGAGTCGCGAAGCCTTCTATCCTTCTATGGCTTCGAATGATGCCCCTAGTTGCCTTCGGTTGAGAGCCTCGTCGCTGTTTAAGTGTCACGTTGAGGACCCGACCCGAGTGAAAGACCAAATTCCACTTCGAGTCGCAAGCTGTTGGTCTGATCCTACGGACTCTTGGACTCTGCTCTGCGGCAGAGCTTTGAAAACGATCCTCAAAACCGTGCCTTTGCGCGTGCGACAGCGTCAGCAGCTTAGTCAACGAGGAAGAGGAAGCCGTGCCCACATTGAGTCGGACCTTTTCCCGGGACTTTTTCAGGCACGTGCGACTATAGCGGCACGAAACTGCAAACTGATGACGGTTGAATATCAGAGAATCAGTGCCCAAATGAAACTGTTTGTGCGATTGGGGCGATGCCCACTTGCTCGGGAAGGCCCTGGTCAGCCCCTATGTCGTTTCTGAGCGCATGCCGACAGAGTCTGGATGCATCTGATGATGTATAGTACATTCAGAACGGATCAGTTATGACCAGCATGAGAATAGCTTGGCTGGTGTGGCCCCGAATGTGTGCTTTTTGCTTATGCTTTCAACTTACAGAGCTAGTTTGGACTGGGACTTAAGCAAGCTGTGCGTTCCCAGCTTCTGAACACCGGGAAACAAGGAAGAATCCGCCTGCCCGGTCTGCAGTCTTCCGGAATCCCTCGCGCTGCACACGATGCGGTCAATCTCCGACTCAAAGTCTATCGGCAAGTAATTTGCCAAAGGCCTGCAGCTCGCTCTGGCGGGCAAGTCGCAACACAAGGCCCCGTCAACCCCACTCGGGAGCTAGCGAAGCGTAGAGGACGAACAGCACACACAAGCCAGGGTCCGTCGAGGCCTCACCAGCAAGTAGCTCACTCCACATTCTCTCACAAAACTGCATGATCTTACTGCAGCCGTGATGCAAAGCGATTCCGGCTCTTGCCAACCATGAAGGTGCGCAGCGATCTGTCTGTGTACTCGTCCGACCACATGACGGGGCTTCTCGCACACTGATGAGGACCTTGTAATGATTGTTGCACAGCTGGACGGCCGCAGGGCCAAGAAAGAGCTACAGTTTTCCCCAGCACGTTGAGCTTTCAGTGAGCATGCTCTTGGTCACAAGCACTGGGATTCAGAAATATCCTCGCAAACCACAAAGCAACATCTGCCAGGACGCTTGGACTTGGGCCGTTTCGATGGGCAGGCGTGCCCCGGTTGCTGCTTGCTTGGTGTGGAGTGCCCACATTTCCAGGCGTGCCGACTTGATTCGCTGGTGATGGAAACCTTGGCTCAGAAATCCTGCGTCTGCTCGTGATGTTATCTTCCAGCCCTCGGACCCACAAGGAGGAACTCACGATCTCTCCACAAACGCAATCGTCATGTCATGGCAGGAAAGTAAATGAGAATCACCTCTTTGCGAGAACGGTAAGCATGGTGGGGTGCCTGTATCTGGCATGCCCGACAACCTGAAGCAGGTCAGAATGCTGCCAGGCAACATGCTCATATAAAGCGAGTTGGGACTTACGGTGGATGTCTCAGAGCCCGCGCGGTCAAAGCCTTGCAATGCAAGATGGTTCCGGCAGCCAAGATGGAAGAAGCGTGTGGCTGTACACTTACAAACGCTACATCGGAACATCGAAATGAAAGGTTTCGAAACTATAGAGCCCAGGGAACTGAAACGATCCGATAACTTCTGCTGATACTTCACTTGCAGCTCAAGGTGCTGTGCATCCTCGTCCTTGCCGGGGTCCATGGGGAATGCGGTGTTGCACTGCGGCTAATTGGTGGCAATGAGAGGGGCGTCGAAGTCGACGGAGTGGACAATGCCCGGTTCCTGGACAGCAGGCTCTACTGCCGAGTTGCCATCAACCACTGTTGCCTGCTGAGACTGCGGCGTACTCTGCCCAGACTGATTTGATCGGGCACACGACCCGCATCGACTTCTCGAAGGGCTCTGCAGCCGGAGGTCCATCAGGTGGAAGTCGTCCCTGGTGCAGAAATCGTTCTGGAGTTCTCAAAAGTCGCTTGCCACTGCCTCTCGTGAGATTCGGCGTTTTGAAGGATGGGGGGAAGCCAACCGCTTGGCCGTGATGCCTCCAGGGCTTCAAACAGGTCAAGCAAAATGGGAAAGGCTCGAAATCACAAGAACCTCCGAGGGATCGCCCTCCGGGCTGCGCTTCCCCGAGATGGCGCGCCACAGGCTTGTCATCCTACGAAGGCCCGGAGGCCGACACCAGAGCTTTGCAGCTACACTTGGGCTGACTTCGGGGAAAATCTTGGGCCTAGGGGGGCACAACCATAGCACAAAGGGCCTTGGGATAAATGCGGGGGAGACCTTGCCTTAGCTCCCCCCATGCCACAAAACGACTCGTGTGCCATGGATCAACTACAAGTCTCGAGCCCAGCAGCAGGAACATGCATTTGGCTTGCCAGCAATTGTGGATGTATGGCCTTTCAACCACATCGCGTGCGTTTGCCAGTAGTGATTGAAAGACGGACCCGGGCAGCCACAGCTTCAGAATGGAACTTCGAGTGTGCAATGGAGGACCACGTGCCGTTTTGCTCGGTGTTTGGCGGGATGAATCTGGAGTGGCCTAGACATTTGATTCGTTTGGGTGAACCTCTTTTCCAGATCCCGCCTGGCACGAGCATGGCAAAAGTCTGACGAGGTCCACGCAGCCGTCGTGTGGGTGCTGAAACATTACATGCATAGCAGGTCCTAGACCTGAACCCATGCAGTACGACCCCCATCGAGTGGCAACGGCCCTGCTGGCAGGGGAGGAGGACAAGCCTATGCATTCATCCAACCTGTGATCAGAATGTCTGGATGTTGCTAAGCATGTTCGTTAACCAGGGGCCCAGGGCCAAACTGGACTCAAGGCTTGATCAAACATCCGCCACGGGATCCCGGTGCAACTCAAGCAGATACGCAGAATCGCGTCCCATTCTTGCTCCACCACATCTCTTAACAGGGTTGCACAAACATGCAAACATGCATCTGAAATCCGTTAAGCATTGAATGGGGATGTATCACGCACAGTAAGCAGGCGCTCGAATTCTTTGCGCAGACCCGGCACATCAATAGAGACGACAAAATGCCATTCTCTGTGCGAAGTGTATTGCCACGAGCACATCATAAGCTTCTTGGGTCTCTTCTCTCGGGGCACACTTTTCACAACGCGACTTGCATTTGCTCGCTTGCCCTGCCGGGCCGGGGCCTGCTTTTTCGATGCAGTTCACGCATGTTCTGGCCTGGCAAGATCGCTCCACCGAGGCCTGAAGGAGACGATGTGTTGCAAGGAACCGGCCTATCAAAATTGGTAATGCTGAAGCATGTCGTACCGGTCCCAGCTTGCCAAAATTAGCGCCAGAGGTCAGAGGCAGCGGGATAGGGAGCCGGCTAGGAAGGCTTGTTGATCGCCTGCACCAGGAGCCATGCCTAACTGAACGTGCTGCGTCGTTGGGACCTTGCAATGAACATTTACATGAAGTCATAGTCTTTCAACTCCTCGCGCCGCATTGCCATCATGGAGAGGTTGCAGTCCAGAGCCGTCGCTTTGCTACCCGAGCATCTTTATGCTCCACGTCGTGCCATACGAGAAGTTTGAAGTGTCTTTACAGTTACGACTTTAACGCAGTTTCAAGCCTGAAGACTTTGGGTCGCAGCTGCTATTGGACACACATTAACGACTAAAGTTTACGCACCAGGGCAGCACAGCAACATCGACGACTTGGAGACGATGCAGATGGAGAAATGTTGCTGTTGTTCCAAGACGAAAGCATTGTCAGCAGCCTTCTTTCGCGCCTCTCTGCGACGGTTTTGATGAATCTGACGTCAACATCGTGTGGAAGACTGTATTCTGGCGGAGGCTGCCCCAGCTTCTATACCACTGGCCACATCTCGCTAGTGATGCAGAGAGGCTATGTCTGCGGCTACACAAGCAGACATGCCTAGCGCAGTCCGGGGATTCACGGCATCTCCTCTGAAAAGTTGCCGGCTTTCGCTACAGTGTGCATATGTGCAAAGATATCTGAGTCTTCACTTTGAAGCATACGATGTACGAGCTGACTAAAACTTGTGGCCTTCAGCAACAGCTAGGGCTTTGAAGCGTACTCATACTCCCAAACTTCAATCTCTGGAGAACTCAGATGACCTCACACTTATTAAAATGCCGAGTTGCATGGTGCCCATAATTTCGGGAAGGGAAGCACTACGATGTTCCTCTGCCCCCTATCTCGGCACCATGGTCACCATGCCGTATCATGATTTGTGCTAGACTTTATGAGAAGGTTCGCTCCAAGCAGCCCGCTCCAGCTCACAGCATTACCAAGGACCTACCTGCCAGTCCTTGGACTGCAACGGCCGGGCTAGCAGCGCTTTTTGCAATCGTCATGTCGGGCAGTTGGCATGAGTGCCCGAAAACGGTGTCGGCTTCTTTCTGCGCCCTGCGCAGCCACTATGCGCTCTGGTGGCTTGTGAATCCGCTCTTGCAAGATGGTTTCAGACACGCTCATGTCGCTTAGACTCTAGCAGTTGTTCTCCAGCACGAACTGCGTGCTGAAGGTTGAGCCGTCAGAAACCATCTGAAGAGAGTAGTCCCACGACTTTTTTGGGGTGAACTACGATCCAAGCCTGCCAGAATCGAGAGATTTTACGGAAGCTCGACATGCTGCACGACGTGTGGTCAGCACTGGGGATTCGCCTACATTGCCCTCCAGCTTTCCACACCAGCTTCAGGGCTTCTGCAAGTGTTCAAAACTGAGGATCCTAGAAAGAACCCGACACAAAAGGATGCTTGTTTTCTCCCACGGAAATTCCGGTCATTTCTGCTCCCGCTTTGTGACTCCCCGAGCTACCAAAGTCGAAGCCAACTCGTGTTTAGACGACGCCCGCCCGCCAGAACTAACACTTTGGACGTCTCACTATGTACTTGCATGTGCTTGCTCCCCTTGCGATTTTTGCAGAAGCCCATCTGAGATGCAGCACTTCTCGTTTCACCTACACTTGAGGCTTTAGCCGCAGGCTCATCGCTGCTTCGTTTGCTCCACATACCAGATCACCTCAGGGCACCTTAACACTCATTTTCCTGGACACACCCTCCGCAAAAACTCATTGGAGCAAAGGAAGCACGTCCATAGCTCGCCAGGCAGGTCCAACCCCTGCCTCTCGGCAACCGGGGTTTGGAGCCTCGCAAAGATGCTTATGAATTGGGCAAAGTGAGCGAGCCCATGGAAAATGGATGCTGATAGTGGCCTTAGGATATCTCGAAGAATCTGGCCTAGGGTTTCTACTATTCCAATGCCAAGGACTGCTGGAAGCCCGGGAGCGCGGACACCCCGACTGGCTCCAAGCTTTTCAAGGGTGAAACACTCTCTACAGCCGTCTATAGAGGCAACCTCTCTACTACCGATCCGCATGCGGAGTGCACAGCTCCACTGTGACTTGCTCTCCTCATCTCGCACCACCGGAAACCTGGGCAATCAAAGGGTCAGGCACCGGACTCGAGTGCAGACAGATGAATCATGGAATCCCAGGCCTGGATGAGTGCTGATGCAAACATGTCATTTCCTTCAACTAGGACAAGCGCCCGACGATCGTCTCGGAGCACAGGAACCTCGTTTCCAGGAAAGGACTCCCCGGGCAGAGGTCCAATACTTGATGCCGGCTGCTGTGTTGGCTGTGATGCCTTCCTACATATGTGCTGCCTTGCTGTGTCTGCCTTCTGCAGCTCAGCTTCTGCTGGTGGCTTGCAGGATCAGGAACGATGCAATTTGACCGACAAGGTCTTAGCAATGCCGCAGTGCCTTTCGTCACACGAGACTTCGGACCCCACTTCGAGAATTGTGTGCGTGTTCTCGAGCTAGTGTGGAGTGCTTGCTGTTGGTCTAACTCGCAAGCTGCCAAGATGACAAGGACCTCTGGGCTGCTGGTTCCGCGACCTTGTGACCTCGACGGAGCCCAAATCCCGAACCACACGAAGCAAAACAGAACGGTTTGAAGCAGTGCGGCATTGGCTTTCCTATGTAAGTCACGGGGCAGTGAACAGCCTTGCCACAAAGCAGTGGTTTGAAGGCTGCAAATCCTCTGAACGGCTTGCTCGGCTTTATATACGGAGTGTCATGTGCTGGGTGCCCCGCGAACACTCACAGCCGGAACACGATATCTCCTTCTTCTCCTTGGCTGTGTTCAAGGCGACACGAGCAGGGGAAATTAGGAGCCTGGATTTCGGAGCATGGGATCAGAACATGTGTATGAAACCTGCTTATAGAAAATGTCTTGCCTGTGATCTTGCTGCAGAGATTCCAACATGCACACAGTCGAGGAGATCTTCACCGATGCAGATTCCGGACTCTTTTGCCCTGAACTGCGACTTCACTGAGCTGTGCTTGAGGCCTGGAGGGAATTCAAAGGACGTGTTCTCCAGGACGCACGGCTCTGTCTCCTCTGCTGAAGCAATCTCTGGCAGCACCATCTCCGGGGGTAAGAATTTGGCACATGCCATGGATAAGGGTATCTCCGTTCCGTTCGAGAACACGTGGGGCTTGCTTTGCGAGTCAGAGTTCAACGTGATGGCTTTGGTGAGAAAGAGGGCCAAGTTCTCCGACAAGCCCTGATGCTCTGCTTGCTTGAAGTCCGAGATCAGCATGTTCGACCTCCCCTTTGCTTGTGCCAGGACCTGAAAGCAACTCTGGCATGCCTTGGGCGACGTGAAGTTCACGACCGCCTTGGACCAAGTCTCTGAGCTGACAAGCTAGGCTCACACAACAGTTGCAATTCGACGATGCTTGTGTCTACAAATGCCTGTTTGCCTCTCTTGCTCATCTGTCACATGCCCACAGACGCACGCGAACACTCTGACCGTTGCTCTACTATTTCTTTGTCGGTGTCCATTGTCTGTCTGGCGACCAGCTTCTTCCAGGGCAAATGTACGAAGTCGATGACCTCGGGTACTGCGGCGTGTGGGGGGTGCTGCTCATGCCAGTAGCTCATGAGTCCGAAGTGTTGTTCGCCTCGGAGAGGCCGAAGCGGTCAGAGCTGCACCCCCGCTTAGGCCACCCACTGACCCCCATCCTCCCCCCCTAAAAAATTGGATTTCGTTGGCGCTTCCCCCCTCCCCCACTCGCCCCCCCATCCGCTTCCCCCGTCTCGCAAGATGGGCTAGCTTACATCATTCGTGAAGCTGATAGCAAAGCCTGGGAATTCTGGCGCTGTGTCTTGTACTTCGTTGCAAAGCTTGCCCCTTCCAACATGTGGGAGGTTTGATACGAAACCAGCGAGAAGTGTGATACGATTATCATAGTAACACCGATAATGTAGGGAATGTGCCACCTTTCGCGTGGGAGTATTGCTCAGAGCCTCAGCATGAAAGTTAATACTGACATTAAACAAACAATCTGAAGCAAATGCGCTCATTGACTCAAGACCTCACCTGTGTGACCTACCCATTGCTTTCCCAAACAATGCAATGCACCTGCTTCAAGTACAGCCGGGCAGAGGCGGACGACGCGAAGCGTTTAAAATCAAATATGCTCAGAGAAAGATGGCGATCAAGACTCTTCAGAGACTTCCTGCAGACTTCTTGACTGCACTGAGGTTTTGAGGACTGTACTTGGACTCACCAAGGGGCTGTTCCCAGCTGCACAGCAGCAGGCCAATGATAGCTCAATGCCACCAAGAACTCCTCCAAAGCGGAGATCTGACCACTGCTACTGATGCAGGAAGCATGTTGCAGACAATAGAACAGAAATCTTGCGCGGTGCTTCTGGAAATACAACTTCCACGAATAGGGCAACCGTCTTCCCAAGTGCTTTACGGTAGTGCCGTGAATGCGAGGGTACTGCAACGACGCAGCGATCCTCAAGTAGCGGGACTGAAAGCACACCACTCCTTGTAGGTCATTTTCTTGTAGGTCTTGAAGATCAACGTAGTGGCATCCGAATCAAGCACGGTCATTTTCAAGCGAGCGCAGGCGTGACGCAAGGCGTGTCGCAGCTGCTGTTTTATCCAACTCTGCTTGAGGCTTGAGCCGAGCACTTGCGCATGCGCAGGTGAACATGAACATGCACGTCTCCTGCAAGGAATACATTCATCACACTGCCAGCCTTGTGAAGGAATGGAGAGCTCGCGTGCAGGTCCGCCTCCGAACAGCTCGTGCCGTGTGCTCGGCGCTACATTTGCAACAGGGTGCAACCCTTCATGCTCCAGCAAAAGATTGCGGACACCAGATCTGCTGCATCGGAGCAAAGCTATGATGCGGGCAAGCTCCACGACTGTATGCATGAATCTCTCCCTTCATGTGCAAGCTGAATTTCATCTTCGATTTCCTCTTTGGATTGATTGGCCGGGGACGAGTCAGGATCGCCGAGTTACGCCCAACAAGGAGCTCGACCCGCATGTGGTGCCAACAAGCAATCCGAAGTGAAGCTTGAGGTGGGCACTTGCTCTTGAAGGCATCTCTGGTCGTGCATCGTCTTAGGCGGCCATAACATGCAAGCGGCTCCAACATCAGCGACCGGGGAAGGTGCCAGATTATGGTTCAAGGAGGCTTCGGGATGTGAAGGCCATCTAACGTCTTGGTGCGCCGGAAGGTTTGATGCGTGCCTAAACGCTTGCCGACTTGACGACACTCTAAGCCCGAAGGATTGGCGGTTAGCTGCTGGGTGTATGCTTGCTGAAATCCGAGCTCACGGACCGACATACGAGTAGAGACGCTGACACACAACAAAAAATAATTCGACCATACCCACCCACCCACGCACCCACCCGCCCACTGACCCACCGACCCACCGACCGACTCACCCACCCCCCCACGACGCTCGCATGCCACGCACTTGGACTATGCTGACACGCTGATTGATGAGCTGCTGGGACATAAAATGACTGCACGACGTGACAGATCAATATGGCGATGCAATACACACATGAGACCTAGTTTTGGGGAGCTGCCCCGGCGTGACAAACACAGTGAATGGCACTCCTAACGCATCATGCAGGTAGGCTTCTTGGGGGTGGGGGCGAGCTTGGTTGGGCAAAGCCCCTTCACACCCGTGACAGACATGTATAATGTGTGTGGGGGAGTGACTGAACCCTTCCTTTCATGAACTGGGAGGAACTACACACACAATCACACTGAACACACGCAGGCACACGGAGTCACCTCTATTGCAGTGAGTGCTGACCCTGCTGGCGGTAGCCGCCAGCCTCCCTGCCAAACCGCACAGCATCCACCGCTGAATCTTGACCACGCCTTGGTTCTACGAGAGGATCGGACAGAAAATCACAAAACATGTGCACATCATGACCTGCACGAGCCAGGGCCGGACACAAGGCACAAGGCATCCTGATTTTCATTCGACTTGCAACGTATGTGGCATGCCGGGCTGCCACTCACTTGGCTTGCCATCGGTTGGAATGCGGCAGGGCCAGCAGCTGCGGGAGCGAGACCGAGAAACAAAGGCCGCAGCCCTGTGGCACTCGGAAGGCCTCCCTGAAGCGCAAGCCCTTATCGGTCATGATAAACTATGCAGCTTTGCTGACACGGTTTCTTCAAGAGGGTGCTGCAAGCAGCAGTGGGTGCTTTCTGCTACAACTTTCTTTCCCAAACCCTGAACAGGATACATCCTCTGTGCTACACTGCTAGGCATGGTTTGTGAAGGTGTTGCCTAAGACGTGCAAGGATTACGCACCTATCCTCAAGCAGCGGAGGGAACCAGAAGCGTGCTGAGTTTTCTAGGTCATTCAGGATAGTCCATATGTACATGGCTTTGTACACGACAAACGTCCAGTCTGGCCAAGCTTGGCACTCGTTTTGGACTTTGAAGCCCAGGATCTGGCTTGAGAGCTTCAGTTGGCCTTGACATCCTCGTTACTAGTAGCATCCTGAAGAAACACGTGACGACACGGGCTATGACCGAGTGTGGCAAGCCTTCAAGCTGTGAGACTTTGTCGGGATTGTGACAACATAAAACCAAGCAAATTACGATGTTCACATTCAGTGGAGACGCCATGCCAGGAAACTCAGTCAACTGAGCCCAACTGAGCAAGGCGCCATGCCAACAAGCCCGGATCCACGGGGACGCGGTAGAAACCCTGGTATGTAGTGATGCAAATCGGCCAAGTCAGGGGTAAGGTACAAGACTATCATGTGCAAGACTGATCCTCACAGGCGGTGTTGTCATGCGAGTGTGGCTTCAAAAAACGAGTTTGACAATGAAGTCACCACAAGTTTCAGGCCAGACCGCATAGCTTCGGCTACATCTCTGCAGCCTCCAGGAACTGAATCGCGTTGCTGCTCAAAGGATGGGCCTCGTGCTTGCTCAAAACGCGCTCTTGCATCGTCAGGTCCAAGTCAAAACCAGTCCAACTGATTCGCCCTTGTATGACCTTGCTTGGCACACGGCGTGGAAGTTGTGGATGTTATAGTAGCTATAGTCGCAGATGTAATCCGTGGCTACCTGACGCCCAGACGTGCACAAGCTGGCCCCCCTTTCCCGCCATGTTCACGGATTTACCGAGAGCTGAGCCATCATGTTGTGGTCCACATCGAAGAAGGCATGGCCGACTCCAACTTTTCGGAACCTGACACATGGAAGCGTCCTCTCACGGCAAGCCCAAACAGGCAGGATCTGAGAGGCATCGAGCTACACTTCGGCTCACTGTCTATTCTGAAGTTCTCCGCAGTCTAATGTCCTTGTCTGTTTATGCTCGTAGCAAAGCTGGGCCCAACATCTTCGCAGATGCTACTGCCCTTTTTCCGCTTCACGTGATATGCAGGCACCCTTCCTGACAGCGAGAGCAGCACACGTGAGGCCAATGAGAATTGGCGGATATTGGAGGCACTCTACGTGCAGCCCTTCATGCTTAGGGCGGCCAGAAGCTTTCCACAAGCACAAAGATAGCTGGCCAACCTCCTGAGCTACTACGTGTATCACGTGGAAAGCCTCCAGTTGTCCTTGACGAGAGCTGCAAATGCCTACCCTGCTATCGTGGCAACTTGCACCACTGCTGTGCTGCTGTCTCCCAATCTCCCACAACAGCTCATGGCACGAAAGGCAAACACCAAATCCTAGTGTCGAAGCAACATGTCTAGGCGCCGTCAACACGGTTCCGTTATGCTTTGGGTAACGCATGCATGAGCGCGGTTTTAAAAGAACATCAAGCACCATCTCGACTACAACCAAACACATAAAACAAGCCTGCTCGCGGGCAAAGTAGGATAGCCGAGCTGTTGTGAGTGTGCTGGACAAAATATGCAAAAACTTCTGGTCAGGATCCTGAAATTTGACAAGTAATGGCACGGCAGTGCCGAGATCACGATCCTGATGAGGCTGGTACAAGATTCTGCTGCACAAGTTTCTGATGTCCTGTAAGATTGAACATGACAGTGGCACTCTTCCCTATTCCAGCCTATGACACGTACAAAACTTGGACACCCTGGTACAATGATAGCACTGGGCCAGACATTATTGGAAGCTGTGCTTCTGTCTGGGGCCAGGCTGAGCGAGCATTGTTGGAAGCGGCCAGAAGCTTTCCAAAAGCACAAAGATAGCTGGCCAACCTCCTGAGCTACTACGTGTATCACGTGGAAAGCCTCCAGTTGTCCTTGACTTTCCCAGACCTTCGAGAGCTGCAGATGCCTACCCTGCTATTGTGGCAACTTGCACGACTGCTGTGCTACTATCTCCCAATCTCCGACAACTTTCTGGGACAGCAGGTGCTTCTGCTCGGTGAAACTGTGTGAAACTTGTTAGGCTAAAGATGCGGCAACGCTGGCTCCAGATTCTCAGCCAGTGGCAAAGGCGGCATTGCGAATCTGCCCGAATATGTCCACACGTATCTGTTGTAAAGATGCCGCATCGCCACAAACATCTCTCGTGCACTGACGGCTGAAGCGGTATCCAGCTTCTCCGGCATCTGTGCAGGGTTCCTGTCATTGCAGGATTCAACCACCACACCTGTGTCTGAGTGTCAGTGGATAGTAGGCAATTGGAAGCTCTCGAGAGCTCCTGTCACTAGGATCTGCACAGTAGAAACCATCCAGTTGCCTGCAAGTTGCAGGTGCAAGCCACTGCTGGAGACGTCGAGGGAAGGGAGGTTATACCTGCCCTCGTGAGCTCAGCAGAACAGTGACACTACTGTGACACGGCACCTGCAGATCGGCCTAGTCCAAAGCTATTTCTCAACCGTTGCAAACAGTACCATGAGACTCGAATTGAAGCGCCGTCCCAAAGCTAGACTTGTGAAGCTTGCCCTTCTGCCATCGCCAAAGACATCAGAACATCGGAGAACAATTTTGTCAGCCTGTTCATTGGAAAGCCGGACAAGTCGAAGCCTTAGCCTGTGATCCGAAAGTCTGTAATTAGGTCTTGAGGCTTTCAGCAGGCAGTCTGTACTCCGAGGAGCTGAGGCACTGCTTTGGACAGGCATCGCTGAGGGGCTCAAGGCCTCCACGGTGACAAAAACGCAAGCGGGAAACAACTACCCTGAGTCAGATGTCCGTTCAACGCTAGAGTCGAAAGATCACCATGCCAGCTTCCACATGCGCGCATTTACGCAGGTCTTCAGAAATGAGCTGCAGAAAGTCTGCTTGAGTTCGCTCCAGAGGTGGTGCGGACTCAGGAAGAGCCAGAGGAAATGATAGATCCTTCGAACTTGAGGAGCAGGACACACTTTCTGCTGTCTTGTCGGCTCTGTCTGCCTCGCCATGGGGTAGAAGAGGTGCGGAAGCCAGAAAGGTCTGGACTGCTTGCTCCCATGTGATCTCCCTGCCCGACTGGAATACCAAAGGCTTAGGGAAGGAAACTGGTGTGGACCGGGAGCAGAAGGCTGCAATATTCTCATTCAGTCCTTGATGCTTTGCCTGCTGCAAATCAACAATCCAGACATCGTGAGAACCGACGAGGGCACGCATGACTCGGAGGCAGCTCTGGCAGGCTTCAGGTGAAGTGAAGTTCACCACTGCCAGCCTGTGTTTGCACGAGGCAAGAATGTGTAGCTACTGTAGTTATTGTAGTGTCCCCGATCCCATCCATTAGCTGTCTATGTTCGAGGCAGTCATTGCTCAGCGCGTCTGGAGGACATGAGTATTTGTTGTCTTCAGCTGTTCCGACGAAATATCTGACGGCTACCTCAGTACCTGAGTTGCACTTAAACTGACGAAATTAAACAGCTAACCAGTTAGCATGTGTTGCATTGCCAAGGAGCTTCTTCCATGGCAAATGCACGAAATCGTAAGCAGGCGTTTGATTCTCAGGGGGCTGCCAATAAAAGTTGAGAACATCGAGGAAGTCCTGCTGCTTGCTGATTGCACAGAATCGGCACAACTTCCCCGAAAGCTGCCGGTCAGGCAATCGCAAACTCCCTTCTACTGATTGTTGTTTGATACTCGAACGCATCGATTCCTGCAAAAACATATCAGTTCACACAAATGTCTTACTCCCATGTGCTCAGACAGGTGCCCTGCACCCCTGCTTTTTCTCTCTCAAACTCTGATGCAAAGCTAACCCACGATCTGAAGCAGCAGCATCATTCAATGGCTTTCAACTAGAAGTGTGAAGTGAGGGAAACCCTCCTTCTGCGTCAGCTTCTTGGACAGCTTGAAAATGAGGGTGGTTGCATTCTCCTCCAGTTCGTCGTCCATGGCCCCGGCTGCTGCAAGCGATATCAAATAAGCTAAAAGAAGCCAGTGGTTTTTGTGATCTTCAAGCTGCATCTGCCCGCTACACACCGGATCTTGAGCACGAAGCTGCGTAGTCGTCATCTGCTGTCAGCGGACCAGCCAGCGCAACATTAACATCGTCTGAGTACGGATTGAAGGTTGGCCACAAGCGGGTTTGTCCCGAGCCCGGGGCTGTGTATTCATCCTATGGAAACAACTGGGCCACACGTCGTCCTGACGGCTCGGCTTGGTTGCAATTGATTACACGTGCAGGTGACTGCAGCCTCGTGGGAGGGGCCGTTGAAATGGAGCAGACCGGGTGTGGTGTTCGTCAGCAGGTTCTTTGGTGTCCTAAGGCTAAGGAGCTACAGACGCCCATGAAGCCGCTTGACTGGCGATTGGGCCGATGGCCCCCTTGCTCCAGGACCTCGAAACCTTGCAGGCTCAGTTGCGCGCTGCTATGTGCATGTCCAAGCACCTCCTCATTTTCGTATGATTTTCTCAACATGTCTAATGCACTGCCTGCATTGCGAAACTGAGTCGATGACCATCCGTCGCCACAGGGTTCTCGCTCAAGTTCTCCCGCTCTATATTGCAGCATGTTCATGAAGACCTGATTCACTGCAAAGAGCTCAAACGCACACACACTGTGGCCACAAGGCCGACGCTAGCAACTACCAGTAACACGCTGACTCTCACCATCGACATCGGGACAACTACTCGACACAAGAGCAATGCAGTGCCCCCGTGGCCTCAGCATGTTGATCAATCTGAATGTTCAGCTCTAGCGCATGTCGCATGATGACCAGCCACATGGCGCCTGACAGGTGCCACCAGCTTTTTGCGATATTCGGACTGTGCAACATGAATATAGCAGGTCCAACAGAAAAACGATCCTTGATCATTCACATCTTCCTCCAGAACGATCTTGTTGTTCCTTGCAGCGGAACATGTCCCTTTGGCAGATGGGTCGTCAAGCGGGGACGGTGTATAGCTCTGGCGATGGTGTGGAAGCCCCCTCCTGCGCAGCACCTCGATGACTCTCGACACTGGTCCCATGGAAAGGCCTATGTTGGGAAACCTCAGACAGCAGCACCGCAGCCTTTCTATCGGTCGAGATGCCAGTCCTAGAATTCATCTATTTGACCTCACTGCATTCAGGCACCGACGGGTAAGGGCCGTCAGCCCTGATCATCCGACAGAAGTCCTGTGGTGCGAACCTGAGGTTTTCCACGGGTGGGCCCAGGAGTGAATCGTGCTGACTAGTCCAGTGACCTTGAGCACTTCTGTGGCGGTCAAAGTGTCCGGCTTGATCCAGCGGTTGATGGTCCACGAGACATTTCCGAAGCTGGCCTGCATCTGCCGGCTGCGCTGCCACTTCGTGAGTTCAATGCCGCACTTTACTACGGCTTCTGTCTGCAGCAAGGCACCGCGCCCGCTACGACAGCGAAGGTCTTGCAGTCAATGACCACCACTGATCACAGCTGACTCAAAACTTCCGCTAACACCAGCTGAGCAGCCCGATCTGTCAAATCCCAAGCTCCATGAGAGGGATCTGTGTGCGGCCTCATATTCTCGCGCACTTAAACTTGCCACATTTCCGCTTATGAACACCATGCTCCTACTGGTAAGAGTAACAATAATGTACCGTTGTAGCATTCAGGTTCTCCCGGTGCCAAACACTCCCAGAGGAAGGGTAGTAAAAAGTATGAAGCCACTTGCCTTGGATTTGAAGCGCCCCGGGGCGCAAACACCGAAAAGTCGATGCGCTCTCCCAGCAGCAGTGCGCAGCAAGTAAGGAGACGCAAACAAGTCGCCGAAACTCGTGTCCTAGCCGTCCTGGAATGGACGATCAAGAAACAAAACCTGAAACGGTGAAACCTTCAGCGCTTTCAGCAAGAAGACTCCCGTGGCATTCAGGAGTTCCATCCCTTGTAGCTTAGACGGTGGCCAAGGCCAGCAGTTCCGCTCGCCGGAGATAAGGTACGGCCTGGGCTTCCCGCTTGCCCAAGTGCTTTGGGAATCAGGAAAACTCACACCTTCACGGCCCGAAGCTCATCGGATGTTTGGGACTGCGGTGTGCGGCTCTTTAACGGGCCTGGGCTCTTGCCTTGAACACGGTTCTAGTGCCCTTTGACATGGCATTGCGCGCCTCCCTTGCCATCTGAAAGGGTATGACTCATCTGATGCTCTGCAATGTTTAGCGTGCCGTTGGCCGGCCAAGGATGGTTTTCCGTCCTTGGTCTTTGTTTTATTTAGTGCTTGTGAGTCTGCTGCTTGGTTTCCTCAACATCATGCTCCTCGTTTCCGAATATGTGGCGCTCCGAATACGCTGTCTCTCTCCGCTTCCTGCATGTTGTGTACGTCATTAGCCAGATGGGTTGAGCACGCGCGATGCGGCGATAGCCTGTGGAACCAGCTCTGGCAAGCTTCGGTGTTGACTTTACCGTGAAGTGGTGCGGCTGTATTTTAGGTGGATGTCTTTCTGCCTGTTTCCCTTCGCACATGAGTTTACGTGCACGATCACCTTATGTGTCCCGACCCGAAGCTGCGCATACAGGATTTGTTGCAAAAAGCCGGTCCGGTCCCAATCCGTGCGGCAACGGACTCACTCATGCTTCGCAGTGAAGACCACCAAAAGTTACCGAACCTAGCCCATCTACACCCACGACCCACGCTTGACAGCTGCTCATTTCGATCTCGCACTGTTTGGCAGCTATCTGCCGGCCCCTTCTGTTAGAGACTGCTGTAGACGACGCAAAAGGTGTGAGCAGTACTTCAACTTTTCCTACTCGTAGGGTCGACCGCCCCCGTTTGCCGCACTTTGTCCGTCGCTCAGGTCTGATCCTGGCTTGGACAGTGCATCCATGCCCAAACCATGATAGCATCCATGCTACCAACCCATCCATTGGCCGGTGCAACCATGCCCCAAGCATGATAACGTCCAGTGCATCCATGTGTAAACCATGATAACGTCCATGCTGGCAACCCATCCATTGGCCAGTGCATCCATGTTCAATTCATGATAGAGCAGATCTTTCCACCCAGAAACATATATTGTGTGTTTTTTTGAGGAGGGGGGCGGCGTTTTCTGCTGCACATATCCTCATAACGGGGACGCCATGTTAAAGCATGCTAACGTGCGAAATCATCGGCCCTGCCATGCTTTTTCCAGCATGGTCCGCAAACATAGCGCAGAAAACGAGGGTGATCCACCCTACTAGGCCTCTTCAGGTAAGTTTTGAAGATTTCTGCGAATTTGGATGTCATTGCAGTTGGCAGGGCATTTGTGCCGCCATTGAACCGCCTGCTCTTTCGAGGAGCCATCCAGCTAAGGAACCATGTAAAGCCGCTGAGATCGCTAGTTGACATTCCATCACCGCTCACTCACACGTTCTCAGGGCAGGGCGAACCCGGCCAGCGGCTGTAGGCTGCCACGATGTCAGCCAATGGCTGCTGGACACCAAGTTTTCTCAGGAGTCTGGGAGTTTGGCATAGCTGCCCGGGTCATGACACGGGCACCTTGCCCTCCAGGCCTGCAGCAACACGTCATGGCCGTCCGCAAAGATCACCTCAAAAGAGCTTGGCGTGCATCAGTGCTACCAACACAACACTTGAGTGAAGCACGAAGCCCTTCTGCTTTTCACGCTGGTCAAAGCCAGCATCGATCGATCCGAGTGACGAGGTCATCGGAGGCAATGCGCCTCTTGCTGACCTCGTACTCCAAAACCTGGACAGGTCCGCAGGCAAGGTTCGGCAAGCACCCAGAGAAGCGAACCGTCAAATCATCATCAGAGCTGCCAGAGAAGATGTGGATGCGACGTACGTGTCAGCATGCCGAGTGTCGCATCAAGATTTCCGATATCCAACTTCGCCTCCTGGAGCATGAGGAACCTTCGTTTACGAAGGCATGCGAGGAAACAAAAGTGGTGCGCTGCCACCCCTATGAATGCTCTCATCAGAAATGGTCACGGATGTCACCAGGCAGGAAAGTATGTAATTGATCTCGTTTGCCAGGTCACTTCAAAGTGGGGGAGTGGCTGTGGATCAAGATGTATCCAGGCCTGCAGGCGCTCTTTACAACACCAACACTGGAAAGCAAGCAGGTGCTGCATCCAAACCTTACGGGCGCTCTTCGTAGAGTAATGCATCTGGCCTCTTGCTGAGGCCCATGACGCGGAGGACCCCGCCCAGCTCGGAAGCTGCCTTGAGAGCACAGGCAACTTCACTCCCGTCTGACGAAAACCGCATGCCGTTGCGACTAGTCACTAGTAACTAGTTCTACCATCTTCTTCTGAGTCCCGTGCTTCCGCCAAGACGCACAGGCCGGGATGTGGGATCTCAGTCAACCAGTTCAGGAAGTTCGGAACTTGTGCCAGAAGTTCGACTTGCACGCTGCACGGAGCAAGCTACTGGTTTCGATGCCATGACAGGCAAGCCCTCCTGTCTGCTGCTGCTTTCAAACTAGCAGGGTGAAGCCAGATTGACCGCAACAAGTCAGTAGGTGTTCGATCAACAAGCAAAGCTCCAGTCCGTATCCGAGAAGGTGTAGAAGTGCACTTGACCTCGGATGATGCAGGCGTCTCGTGGTTTCTGGCATCAAAGCCAGAAACTCGTGGCTCACCAAGCACCGGCTTTGCCTAAATCCTTTGGAACAAAAACATCGAGGATATGCTAGGTGAGCAGCGGAGCGCCCGTCCAAATTGGGACAACACCTAGGCTCAATTCAAGCCGCCGTATTGACAACTTGTCCAAACTGGAGGATGATCTTCAGCTAAGTGGCCGGGAGGCATGACACGAGCCATCGCCACATTGACATCTCTTTTCCAGTTTCATGTCAATCACCTGCCTTCGGCCAGAGACATACACGAAAACACTTCGCACTTGCATGTTAGTGGCCAGCGTGGCCTGTTGAAAGAACCTACCAGAATGCTTGCTGATCCCCCGGCTTGCATGCCAGGATCAAACACCCATCAATGCCTAAGTTCATCTCGATGATGGAATTAGGCAGTGCACTGAAAACTCGTTCCCGTTACCCGTCCCACCCGGCCTGCTCAAAGCAGCGCCAATAAACGAGACATGGCGCGATGCTGTCAAGGAGCTGGGCTCTTGCACGGAATGGGATAAGGGTTCTTACGACCGATATGTCCAAACCGCTCGCGGCTCTCCCGCAGTCTGCACGTGTCTGAGCTGGAAGTGCCAACCTGCTACCGTCTACAAGCATTGACATCGCAGCATTGCAGTGACAGCTGTGCAGTCGAACATGACGCTTGAGGGCTGCTGGTTCGAGTGGTATACTTGAATCTGGAGCTGGAAACAGCTTGTGGGGCCGTCGACCGTGCTGTCGAAACCCATTCTTGGAAGTACACAGCATCCCGCTCATGTGGCAGGGCAGGAGCAATGTGGTGTTCTTTTTTCTTCTTCCGCGGTGGTTGTTCCCGGCCCCTGCCCATGCTCATTGCCTGATCAAGAAGCATGCTGTAAATAATTTGCCCAGCTTAGATCCCGGCAAATGTAGTTGCGGTGCAAAGGCAGCTGATAAGGACTGAGACGGACCGGGCTCGCTCGGCTGACAGCCTCTGCCCGAAGCTGGTGGAGTCGCGCAGCGCAGACATCTCCCCCAAGCGAATGGACAACCCTTCCACCTTCGTTTGCAAGAGCCGTACATTTTTCCGCTCAATGTTGAACTCCGGACCACATTGGCTTGAGCTGTCGACTGCCTGCTGCATTGTCGCAAGCCCACGCGAAGCGCTCCTGAGTTTGATGCGGTCCACAGACATCCTGTGCTTTCCGTGCGTCCGAGCATCTGCTCCGCAGCAGTCTGGCGGTCGGCGACCCGACGCACCTCAAGTGAAAAGGCCACTGATGTGCAAGAGATTGCAAGAGGTTGTAAGAAAAGCACCGTCATGTGTTTCACGTCTCTTTCCACCCCTCAGATCTTGCAAAGCCATCTCTGCTGACCCAACTCGCATCAGGCTGGCGCTTCTTCTGCGAGTCCTTCACACCGCGACCAAAGCGTCTTCAATTGAGCCTCGGATGCCTATGATGAAAGCCGTCCATGTATGGCGCACTGGCAGTCGTGAAGGGTTTACAGATGTCACCCTTGCAGCAGTATAACCACTTGGGCCTCCGCTGCCTCCCACTCTGCGGCTTCTGTCCACGGCAGGTGCTGCTGTGCCTGCCGACCGGATGTGCCGTCGACAGCTCGTGCTTAAGTGCCCCATATCCCAGTCCATCACAGTCCCTTCTCCGCTTTGTGCCAAACAACAGGTTACAGACCTGGTTATGTGTACCTCTGGCACCAAGTAGAAGCTCGAAGCAGTGATGGGTTCGCCTGGCCAAAGGTCATTCTCATGCCTACCTCCAACTGCAGAACCTTTCGTTGCTGGCGAGCACTGGCGGGGTGTCGAATCTCAGAAAAAGCATCCCATGCTCCTTCAACATTCAATCCTTGATGACTTGTCACGGCTGTGCTCCGGGCCCTCCGCCCGCGGTTGCATGTGGCTGCGGCCTCGAGGTGCTCTGAGCTAGGTCGCAGTTCGGAGGTCTCAGTCCGTCGCTGTCAGACCTACTATATGCGATTATAACATGATTTTTATGTTAGTTATGTGGCATTTATACTTACATTTTGTTGTATCAATAGCTTTTCTATGTCAATATTAACATGAATATGTACGTTCGTATAATGTCTATTTATATTTATGCTTACATTAGATTAGATTATACCAGTATAGTACTGTAACACTCAGGCTGGAACATAGCTCAAGCAGCTGCCTGCGCACCTCGATGCTGTCCTGCTGGATCTCTCGAAATGCGAGGGCAAGCGGGCAAAGTGCCATGCTCATCGCCTCGACGGTCTCGATCAGCTGGGCCCGAACCTAACCGAGCCGGTCACAAGTCGCATCGGAGCTGCGAGACTCACATGACTTGCTTCCTACATGCCTTCTGACGGCAAGAGCAACAAGATCCCAGAACTTGATTAGTTAGCATGGACGTTTGCACTTCCCAACTTCCCATTTTTGCGGACAGTTTTTGGAAGCTGTCCGGGTGTTAAATTTCACTGGGGCATCGCTAACCTTCCCACCAAACCGGCCGGACTCTCAAGCAATAAGTGCCGGGGAGTGCGCGGTCTCAATCTCAGCCACGGCGCTACTTCTGCCCTGCAGCCAGCAGTGGACATGACAGCATCGCTCGCTGATCTGTGCCGAGGCTTGTAAGCACGAAGTGTGACATCCGGCGATGCTAAAGCTTGCTCGACGCAGCCTGCGCCAGCTGCTCCGAGAAGTCTCGCGCCTCACAGCAGGTCACAATGGCAGGGTGTGGCCACATCCACAGGACTGAGCAATGTTTCATATCATCGATGCCGATCGATCACCTTTTCCATGCACACTTCCACATGCACCGAGGAGTTGCGCTTTTTGTGTTGATTCTTGCTACCCTCTCGTGTGGCATCCACGACAAAGCCTTGACGACCAATTTGCACACACTGGCAGCACTGTCTGTTGTAGCGACAGGTGGGGCTACATGTGCAAAATTGTCGGCAGATTCCACGCAAGTGCTTGCATGAATTCGCTGGGCTCCTACGACGTCTCACGGCGCTCGGAGGGGCTCACAGCTGTTGCAGGGTCGTGGCTTCAAGACTTCTCCTCAGGTCAAAGCCATGGCGAAGAGAAGAACAGCAGCATCGGGTTGTCGCGGCTCAGACGAACAGCTTGAGAGAACGGCATGAGTCTGTGCGATAGCCAAGCGTCAGAAGCGCTGGGACGTGTTGCTGTTGCAAAGCGAGCTCCTTGCACAAGATACCGCGCTACTCTTTTTTGTGACCCAGGTAAGGCTACTGCTTTTGCCAATGCTAAAAGATTGAATCTGGCCATTTATGTGAGCTCAGCCCCTCCAAGCCAGCAAATACTGGCAGCTCAGAACTTCAACGTCCAACTCTCAAACCATTTACCTGAAGCGGCCTCTCAGTCTTGAGGACATCCTGAACATGAAGTTTGGGAAGTATTGCTGCAAGGTTTCGCACGATGCGATGGCTGCACCAAATGTCACCAGGTTCGGAACGAGGCTTGCTTCTCCTTCCTGCCACAGCTCTCCAACAAGATCATAAACATAAGTGTATTTTGGGGAACGGCAGTACGTTGAGGGTGCCCTGTCGGTATCAAACAAACTCCACACAAGTAAAGTAAGCAAGCAAGTACGCAACTGAGAGAGCAAATGAGAGAGAGAGAGAGAGAGTGGGTGTGTGTGTGTGTGTGCGCGGAAGTTTAATGCGAAGGGACAGGTCGGCAAGCCGCTGACATGAAAGTCACAAAACTTGCGCAGCACTGGAGTTTGGGTTGTTCCACCAGGCTTGTACAGCGCTCGGAACCATTCAGACAGCTGGCGGAATCATGGTGTGACAAGACATGAGGCAATCCAAGCGGCTGGCACACTTGGGAGCAAGCTGGGCATTCTCGCACCAGTGCATTTGTTCTGCCCTCCCGAGAAAGTCGCACTCGCACTTACGGAAGTCCCACAGACCGCGTCTCCCTTCTTACAAGTCGCTTTGACGAGAGCCTCTCGGTGATTCAGACTCACCACTTCACGGATTCCGGATTCCGTAAACTTTTCGGAAAATGCTTTGTGCACTTCACCTACCTGCAACGTCAAAGCAGCCCGTGGGGAAGCTTCTTGCGGCAACAACTGTATTTCGTACCGTCCAAGTCACAATCACAAGCACATGTCGGATTTCCAAGGGAATGCAGAACCTACGAACACAAACCCATCTCCCGATCCATGGCAGTGCAAAGCCAAGCCTCAGCCAGGAGCCGGAGAGCCCTGAGCCACCGCTGACTCTCGCTGCAGGCCAGGATGGCTGCACTGAAGCTGATGGCATTGGGCTGGAGGCCAGCAACGCGCAGATCCTTCAGCTCCGAAAAAACGGAATGCATGGGAATTTGGCGGTCTGCTTGTCATGCCTTCATCAGCTGGATGGCAACTTCCCAGGCATTCGCCTGCCAAGCTGCTTTTCTGAGAATGGGAAGTTAGGCATGCAGTGGCATGCACGCCCCTGCCTTCTCTGCCACACTGATGGCGGAGTTGTACAATACAGTGTTGGGCTGAATGCCACCTTCCTGGACAGTGGACCTTGAAATACAGTCCGTGTGCGACTTGGTGGACTTGTGCAGCACATTGACATCTGCTTCCAGCTTTAACCATTTCATACTCAGCCCTCTGCATGATACCAGCCGCCAAATCCCAGTGCTCAGAGCATGCCGCAGCAGTAAGAGCTGCGCTGCACACCTAAGCAGATCATGCCATACAGCAGCGAATAACGACGTGGGCGCCGGAGCCAAGACGGCACAGTCAAGGACGTTCGTGGACATCTGCTGCGACTTCTTAACTAGACAGGCCCGCAGGCTATAGTCTCACCGTGAAGTTTGGACAAGCCACGACGACGTCCGGCAAGAGGCGGATCCTTAAACATGTGCGTTGTGGTCAGAGTCGGGACGTGCGATGCGTGTAGCTTCGTCTCCAATGATCATGTCATGCGCGACGGGCGTGTCTGCCGCGTTCGTTATGGGGTCCAGCGGCAACCAGAAGTGTGGTTTGCTACTGAGACCGTCTGCTTCGTTGCAGCTTGAAGTTGAAGCGAAGCGGCCGGAGAACTTCGTCGAAAAGCTCCAAGGCAAGCTCCCAGTGCTTGCACTTCTCGCAAGCGCTGATGACGGCACTGTAGGCCACGATGTTGGCCTGCACGAGCGTGCGGGAGTGACGCAAAAGGGAAAGCCTGGAGAGTCTTGAAGCTGCGCCTTCTCCAAACACTTGCGGATCAGCAGG